ATTGCGGTATTTCTTCGAGCTTTGAAACCATTTTTTTCTCTTAATTCTGATTGACAATATGTACGAAGAAACACAGGCAGCTGTGCTATTGCAACATATTATTTTCCATACTCTTTATTTTTCAATTTCCCATACAAGAAACAGTGAATTAAGGAACAACGGAGGGGGCGTCACGGTATATTCGGTCTAAACGCAAAGAGTTTGACACCCACGACCCTGACTCAAAGCTTGAGGGTTGTCGCGAGGGCGGCACCGTTTGTGCACCGATGCCTTTAATTAATTTAATCAGCTCTCTTGGATAATTGACAAGCAAGCAAGAGAAGCCCTACACGTCGCTGTGATGAACTGCGCAGGATGAACAGCTTGAGTGATCGACCCTGTATACTTGAAAGCGAAGGCTTGTGCGAAATTTGAAGAAACCCCCCCCCCCCCCCAGAATGATCTGTCTTCCACTGACTGATATTTTAAAGACTCGATTTTCGGATTTGACCGGTGTGACGCATTATAAGTGATGTCTATTCTTTTATTTATTAACATTAGCTCAACACAAGCAAAGCCCCCCCCCCTCCCGCCCCCGTTGTCATTTTGTTATTTAAAAAAAAAAAAAAACCTACTAGTAGTGATACCACCCCCGTTTTTTCTACACATTTTGCCCCCCCCCCCAAACCAAGATACAAAACTACCTACGCTATAGAATTAGTAACCAAATGTAAGGTTGCACATTTTATTTTCTAAAACAACACTGCACAATCAACATCTACTCTTTAGAGCAATAATCATCCCTGAATAGTCTAAAACTCAAATAAGTAGCTGAAATTGATCGTCTCGGGCCCACAAGAACAAAAAATGTAATTTCTTCAGTTCAAAGGGCACGAAAAACCGTGCTATCAAAGTAGAATTCCCGACTGGAGATTTTCAGGGTCAGATTTATGCTGGCAACTTCGAAGCCGTGATTCATCCCCCGTCTCCACTTAAAGATTCGGTCGGCTCGTGTAGTTTCTTCAAGATGCCACAGCGTAATATGATTTGCATGGACTAAGCCAAACAACTGACCTCAGGTGAACAATTTAAAAAGAAAAACAGGAAGACGCATGGGGGAAATCCAAGTAAATTTGAACACATTTTGCTTAATTTTTCCCTTAACTGGGAATTTTGAGGGGAACGGTATAACTCCAGACATGTTCATATTTTTCCCGCCTATATAGAAATACATCTATTTCAAAAACGCTCGGCGGCCAAGTAGCGAATAACTGTATTGTTTTCTGAAAAAGAGTGTCTAATATTGAAAAATGTCGTTTACTTGAAATATGCAGAAATTCCCTCTTCCCTTAATTCTACCGATTCTACTTAATTCTACGTCTTCAGAGGTTGCAGAATACTGATTAAAAATCACACAGCTGTACCGTTCTGTCATATCACCAATGGACATTGTCTTATCTCCGCCCCCCCCCCCCCCCAAAAAAAAGAATACGTAACAAAAATAGATGGGCAGAGTCAACTTTCATTTAGACAGTCTTGTTATCTATCTTTGATGTCGGATGAAACTTCAACAACTTTGCAGCCATGCGCTCTGTGTTCTCTGTTATCATGATGGATTTTAGTTTCCATAAAAGCGAACACCAACGCCCGGGTCAGGGGTGAAAATCCCCCATTAACCCCGGGGCACGTCATCGATCGATCGCTCTGTTGGTTTAAGGTCCGTCTGCCCCTCCTCCACCCCTGTCAACCCCCTATTCACCCCTATAATTAAAGAACCTAATTCCCTTCCCTTTACCATCATACGTCGGCACCGTGCCTGTGTGATCTGGGGTGTTGTTAGCGAGGCGGTATCCTCTTTGAGTGTCGACATCCCCTTTCGTCTATTGTGAGCTGGCTAATTGACAGACTTGGGGTTGTAATTAGCAACTCCCCTGTAAATTGGGCTGTGGCAACCCCCGAGTCAGTGGGATTAGCACCTGGTTGAAACCCCCTGCCAATGCCCATAATCGAGAGGTGCTGAATCGGTGGCTGAGGGCAAGAAACAGGAAAGTTTGATTTTGAAAGTTACAGGAAGAAAGTTTCAAATCAGTGTGATTTGTGAATTAATCAAACATTCTTGTATGAAATTGTTACCAAGACAAAATATTAGAAAGCACACATAACTATACCCCCATAGTTTGACAAACCTTTTGAATACCATCCAAATTAGAACAAGATTCAGTATCACAACTTTCGGGAAAAAAAATCATACGTATCAAAATTTTGTTAGGTTAAGATACTTCCATATGTATATGAAGTTTTCTAGCACCCATGTTGGATCAGTTTATATACCCTCATGATACAAATCCTTCAGATCTAAACCTGTGACAATCTTAAATGGTGATTTATCAGTACTTTTCATAATTTCTAACACCTTGCGTACAACCTCTTTTGTACAGTTCCCAAATTGCCATGAATTGCAGTTAAATTAAAGGCATTTGCAAACAAAATCCAATTATTATGAAGTACCTTACTTTACTGTAAGCGAATAATAGTCACAAGCATCCTGTGAAATCCTGGCAACCGGTGTGCTGTCATTTTCAAGATCGATTTTGGATCAATTTCCAATTTTCTGTCGACCATCGTTGGAAAAAATCTTCGAATACTGTAACAAATTTACCAAATTCATTTAGTCCACATTTTGTTTACAATCGGTTACACATTCGTGAACGGTGAGCTAGCTAGTTTAGTTCCCTGATCTGACAATTCTCGACGTCTATAAATTGCTCCGTTTCGTCCGAAGTAGGGTCAGGGAACCAGACTATTTTCTTTTCCAGCATCAATGAACACACAATTTCAAACAGGTCAGTGTAACAATATTTGCTATAAAATACTAACCCTCAAATCAATCCATTCCTTAAAATTATAGCAGACGCAAATCTTGTTTACATGAATTACCTTGAAGTATATCTAATGGAGTCATGAAATGCAAGTTCCTCGGATCGGCAGCATGGGACTCACTTCTGGAAAAAAAGGTTGAAAACGTAGCGCGCGGGACATAGGCCTACCCGTGGCTTTCAGCGCAGACCCCATTCAACCAAAGAGGGACAATAGGGGCGATAATGCAGCCCATGCCCCAACTGTCAATTACCCTGTGGACTGTGGAGTAGCAGACACCACACAGGGTTGCCGCCGTGCTACAAACTCCCCATCGGTTCAATAGTCGCCTTTGAGTGTGCCGACAACCCTGCCCACTATTGTCACTTGATAACCGGGGCTTGTTGAAACGCACAATGGAGTCGAGGGGTCCATTGGTTGTTGTATTACCAGGCATTCAAAACTGGGGTAGGCCTATCCGTTGTTGGAACAGGCACGAGGGAGGAAAGCCCTGAGTGCTTTTTCACGCGACTGGTAGTGGGTCGCGGGACAAACTTCGAGCACACGGGTGGGAAAATCTTAAATTCTCGTACATCATATACCTAGTGGGAGTCAAGAATGTTGATGTTGGTTGGGTAGGCTATGTATTTCTTCAGATTCATCTTGAGTTTCAAGATGACTGGCAATCTAACGTGTGTACAAGTTGAGGTTGTCCCACTCTGTACTCAACATCTGCTTCATAACAACTATCAAAAGAGTAAGCGAAGAAAAACAAATTCCAGAATGTTTCAAATCCTGGCCCACAAACGTGCATGACAAGCGTCATCTGTTATTGATTATGTGAAACCAAGCAAACTGCAAATCTGTTATTCAATTCATGCAAAGCTATCAATCTACCCAACCTACAATCAGGTTTAAAGAAATCAGGTTTAAAATCCAGAATACCCTCCTTTTTTATTCCTCCTCGTTGTGACTTACACGTCTCTCCCCTTCCTTTAGAAAAAAATTCATGTAAACATTGGAAACGTTTTGATTAATCCACCCGCAGAGCGACTTGTTTTCCACGGAGGTACGGTCGGCAGCCCAGCAGGACTGGGCTCACTGGGCCGTGGGTCAATGGAGACCAGAGCACGGCGGGGTAGCTGGCCGCCAACACAACAAACCTAATCCCGGGATTACGGAGTTCTGACGGCCTTGGTGCCCTGCCCGTGCCTGCCGCCTGCATCATACAGCTGATAGAATATACAGGAAAATGTATTTCCTTGGATTATAAACGGAAAGAGTGACTGTGGATAATCAATCCGAACATGTACCGACTATTTTCAGCCACACAATGCTCGATCTTTAGCTCAAAAAAACGAGAGAGATGTTCCACATGAAATGTAAAAGACTAACGGTGCTATTTCGATTTTCAGACATAAATTGAATTGTGGAAACTGTGTCCATTTACCGAGAATTGGTCCACGGTCACTGGCCTTACGTTAGCCACCCGCTGAGCTTGCCTGGAGCCCACGTCCACTCATTTTGTGTACCGTCCAAATTAACCTCTTTCCAATTAGAAATTCCCCGTTACTCAAGGGATTTTAATAAGAGTGAGAGAGATAATTGGTTGCTAGCTTAAAATGATTTCCTAACCCTGTCATCTAATCAAGGTAGCTTTTCCAAATATAGCCGAACTGAAAATGGTATGAACTTTATAGCTCAATGGTTGTACCCCTAGTCCACACAACCCCGACTTCATTATTGGGGTTTTTTTTTACTCCATCGTCACCGCATATCATTACTAGGTTGGCAGACAGGCCCCGCACTCCTGGCCAATCAGCAGGCTCCGTTGTCGGCTCGTACGCCTTTGATCTCCCCCAATCCAATTATTTGTTTACACAAAAGTGGTGCGGACCTATTACTTGGTTAACTTGCCCGCCTTTTGTCCCGCCTCAACCGTCCCTCCTCATAATCAACGTTATTTTTCGTGTCAACAAATACCCAGCAGGATCTTTGTCAGCGGCTAATGGGTCCGGTTTCCTTTCAGCGCGGCCGCCGCGCGACCTGATTGGGCAGCGGTGTTCATCAAAGGGTGACGAGCTCACGCCTGATTGGCCGTCGGCACATGAAAGAAACACTTGGCTGTCGTCTGCGGTGTCCCGCTCATTCACACGCGCTATACAAATACGGCAACCCAGTGTGCCGTGGGCTTGTATTCACAGTCTCGACGCTTGCACGAGCACAACTCACTCTTACGTTAGCTCTCGTACAAGCTGAACGCATCGCTACTCGGCTCTCAACACTAAGGTCTGCTTCTATTTCGTCAGTTTCACGACGATTCACGGTTCAAAATGCCTGAGGTGGACTGCTCGCAGTTTTTACAGGTTGGTAGAAGAGAATCATTAAATATAACTTTGTCTAGAAGATATTGAAAAATGTATCAATGTTGTTTGGTTTTTAAAGTACCAAGAGGAGTAAAGTGATTTGTAATATAGATTAAATAAGAAAATTCATAATTGGTATAGTGACAGGAAGGATATGTTTTTTAAATGTTCTTTTATAGGAATACAAAAACGCCGGTTCTGATGTTTTGTGGTCCTCCAAAACACATTCTTCCAACTACAGTGTGTTGCATTTGAATACATGTAAGGGTGTAAAAGTTGACATGTGCCGAATCATGAATAACGAATGTATTCCCGTATTTTTCTTATATTTGGCAGTTGCCCGATAAGTGTTCAAGCGACTTCAACAAGCCCAGTCCATTGGCTCTCCTAGCAGCAACCTGCAATAAGATCGGCGGCCCAGCACCCGCCGTGACCAAGCCCTCTCACGCCATAGCACCGCACCAAGCATCGATCAAGACAGACCGAGTCCCGGGCTACTTCGCTCCTCGCGTGCCGGTGTCATCATCCCCACCGGCCTTGGGGACAACGATGATCTCACCGCACCACGCAGTAGTCCCTGCCGTACCCAGATGCGAGCTGCCCCCAACGCCACCAGCAGAGCCGTTCCCGGGCTGCATGCCGCCGGCTCTGCCTCATAGCTCCCCGGTCATGTCTACGGTGTGCCCGCACTCCGTGGCTGCTGCCGCGGCATACTTCAACGCCTTCCACCCGCCGGTCTCAGCCTGCCCCATGGGACTGACCCAACTCCCTGCCGGCCTGTCGTCACCTCACTGCCACGGGGTCCATGGACTTGAACATTTACAGCACTACCTACCAAGCGGTATGCTGTCCCCTCCTCATTCCCTCAACATTCCGCTGACCGTTCAGCCGACTCCGGAAGAGATACCCTGGTGGAGTGTTTCCACCCCAAGCCAACCCGTGCCACCATCACCCCTCACTCCTCCATCCCCTGGACTATGCAGCTACGCCGGCCCGATATTCCACCAGCAGTCTCCCATCAGTGGCTACTCCCCGTACCAGTTCCCCGGACTTTTCGATCACAAGTCGTCCCTGGCTAAGCTGGCGGCTAGACGATGCCGGCGCTGCCGGTGCCCCAACTGCCAGAACGCCAGCAACTCCGGCGAGCCCACCAAACGGAAGCAGCACATCTGTCACATCCCAGGCTGCGGTAAAGTCTACGGTAAGACGTCCCACCTCAAGGCACACCTCCGCTGGCACTCTGGGGAACGGCCCTTCGTCTGCAACTGGCTGTTCTGCGGCAAGAGCTTCACGCGGTCCGATGAGCTGCAGCGGCATCTCCGGACGCACACCGGGGAAAAACGCTTCATTTGCCCCGACTGTGGGAAGCGCTTCATGCGCAGCGACCACCTGTCCAAGCATCTCAAGACCCACTCCCTGAAGAAGGCCGAGTCTGATTCCAAGCTCATGGATGAGGAGGAGTGTGAGGAGGACTTGCAAGATGAAATCTTGGACGTGACATCTTAAAGACTTGAACGTTTGGAAATGCATCTCATAGTGGCTGAATTTCAACTTGAACTTAACGATGATTTCTAATTTATTGATTTTTTTTTGCATAAAACTCTTGGATGCTTTTGAAAATCTTTGCCAAAAATTGCCAAGTTAAAATGAATTTCGTCCGGATGAAAATTCAGAATGGCTTTTGAAGTTTTCCAATTACTGCCAAAATTAAAGACAGAAATATACATTTTGAGCTTTTGCTTTGAAAGCTAGTGAACATTTAATGTTCGTTCAATCTGGAACCTAATTTTGAAAATTTTATATCATTTTGGTTTTTACTTTTTCAATGATTGTGTAATTGATTATCCTACTGTTCATTTTTTTTACGGGCGATCGTATTTTGGAATATTAAATTATTAGAATGTTTTCATTGAGAATATCATTATTGATTGTTTGATTTTTTTTGTTGGTTACTTAGGGGAATAGACAGGAATATCTGTGTTAAGGTTTTCAAAAGATGAAATGGGTTACAGCCACACTGTTTTCATTAGTATTTAATTTATTCATTAAAAGGGGGTGCAACAATGAGTCTGATAATTGCAGTACAAATTGAATGTAGCCCATCGTGCCAACTTCCTATGGCAGTTCTTGGTTTCGGAGTTCAGTTTAAAAAAAACACGAAGGTAGCTGACAACTTTTGAAAACTGGGATGCCATCAGTATTTCTTAACTGCATGCATAATGAGTTATGACCAGACTGAGAAGGATGCTTCTGAGATTACGGGAAATGGGTCATTCGGGAAACATTTCCATAGACTTTTGCACAAATTTTCTCCATCTTTAATGTCACCTAACCCCAATTTTACCTTGTCCTACCGCCACGAATTTCGGTATACAGTCGAATCTCGTTAGTACAACCTCTGTTTATACAAAATTCTGGTTAAAAACAAACATAAAGCCTTAGTCCCGACTGTGCATTTATGGGTACAATGAATGGGACTGATGTTCCTCTTAATACAAAATTCTGATATATCAAACAATTTGGCTATGTCCGAACGAGTTTGTATTAACGAGACTCGACTGTACATTGTACATGCATATGTACACTGTATTTATGCCTTGGACCACGAGCAATAGATCTAGTCTATTGGCAACATTAAAATGTTGCCTCTTTTCAGGAGCTGTGACATTAGGGAGGCATAAAAATGTCTCGCTAATGTCCGGTGTCTCCCTTGGGTATAATTAATGACGACAACATGTCTGCCAAAGGTCCCATTAACAGGTATTCTTGGACTACTGTACAGCAGTTATTTTGGTCGGCCCTGAATAACACATTGAGCGACTCGGAGCCGCGTTTGTTTGCAACTTAACTAACCATGTAAAACGTAACGTTTTGTTGATTCCCTGGTAATGTGAGCTACTGTGTTTGCATCAAAAGTGCATTGCATTATTCACAGCTTGCCATGTAAAACGTTAAGTTTTGCTGGTTCCGTGGTAATGCAAGTTACTTGCATCAAAAGTGCATTGCATTATTTTCACATTTTCATTAAAAACAAAAATCAACTATTGCAGCTGCGTTCGGGACGTACCCCCAGGCATGAGATTTTTCAGACTTTTGTCTGAATTCAGACTTTTTGAATCTGAGAGAAAGACATTATCAGTATAGAAAGAAATGCGTCTTTCAGACCTATAATCCAATTTTCAAACTTTAAAATAAAAATCTCATCCCTGGTACCCCGGTAATTTGCCAATGAAAGAAGGCTCTTCCTTTCTTATACATGTACATGTAAGACTATTTATCAATTATCAAGACAGGTTTACTTAGCAGTGGTTAAACCTTAGAGAAAGGAAACAATCCTGCGCACCAACAGCCCCTTTAAGGCCCTCCCTCCAACCCACCCCCCGTTCCCTCTGCAACCTCCCCGTCGCCTCCTCCCGAGTGATATTTCGCTCTTCTCTCCCTCTCCCTAGCTTCTCCCGGTCGGCACTTTGTTGTGATAACACATCTAGATAGGCATCTGTCCCCGTAGATACGGTAATGGTTTTCCGCGGGTGTCGAGTGATCACGCTCAAACTGCCGCGCGATCTCACGATAAACGCGCGGAATCGATAGAAGAACTCCCCGGCGAGGATGGGCTGTGTATAGCTAGCACCGCCCGGGAGGCGAGGCAGTAACGGCAGTGTTGCAAGCGGCACCATGGCGTTGCATTCGGCGTGATTTTTGTCTTTCAAATTTTTTTTTTAGACCGCGGCAATTTCACAGACGAGATTGTTATAAGGCAGTCGTCTGTTGGCCACGAATGTTCTCCATCAATATCGAAAAAAGTGCATTTGGGTTGGGACTGGAGGTCAGACCTATTCTTGAGGGAAGATGGTTGTGAATTCCCTGAAGATGATGCGGAAGAGATATTTTCATATACGCCTTCTGTAACTTTCACTTCCGCCGCATTGCTATGCCTTTCATGAACTATAGATGGTATTTTTTTAATTTAAGATAACATCTTGTAACTGTCCCAGTTGAATTTTGGTACGTGCGGACGCGCTCTGAAAAAACTGCCCATCTTTGTTTAGAAACCCATCAAGCCTCGTTCTTGGAATATCACAGGTTACTTTAATATCTTTATTCCACCTCCGCGATATGCCTGTGTGGATAATGACTACACTCATAAAGTTTATACATGTACATTGTACATTTGCAATACATGTACATTTCAACTGCGTACATGTATCTCGATCGTGTTTCTTGAAGTATATGTTTGTCCTGACATTGATGATTAATCCGTACAAAGAAATCTAAGTCTTGAACTCAAAATTTTCACATTTCACCTAAATTTAATTTATACTTGGTATTACATGTATTGGAATAAGTATGTCACAACTCACAAGCCAACATTTCCCGTCAGGCCGGCGATTATCATCGGTTACCTTGCCATTAAACAACATTCTAGTCCCCCTGGATGGGATGCCAGTCCATCGCATGTTACTCCCCAGCTAATGCCGGTACCCAGTAGACCCGGTACAGGTATACATACTCCTGGATGGAGAGATGCAAGCGAGTGCTTACCCAAGGACACACCGTATAGCCAGCAGCTGGATTCGAACCTCTGAACCTCTGATCAGGATTAACGAACCCTATAACCACCAGGCCACACTCCACAAGGGTGTATAGGTTTTTTCCGAGCTTTCACGAAAATTTATGTGTCTTGGTAATTTAGAATGGATCATCTTTACATACATGTACATGTACATGTGTATTCAGTAAACCTGGCGCAAAAAATATGTACATGTAGTTCTTAATACTGAATGAGTAAAAAAAAAATAGGTGAAGCACATTCACCTCAATGTTTTCAATGTTACAATTTTTAGGTCTCTCGCCATGGCAATATCAATACACATGTAATTCATATAGTGAACATTACTAATCCACAAAGTGTCGCTATCGATTGTTCTACGAGACCATATTTACACTACACTACTGCCAAGCTCAGTTTGAACAGTCGATTTTCGTTTCTGGAAATTTTATGACGAACGCTTCAACTCAAAACCGAAAGTTTGAACTAGAACAATTAGGGCCTGACTGCATATTGCCAGCCTCAGCCAACCACTAAATGCCTACCAAAATAATGATGATCAATTTGATCATGGATTAATTAACTGAATTTTAATGCGTGTTAACCGTTAATAGTTTAATCCAATTTCATGCTCATTATAATACATGTTTTTCATTTCTATTCGTTTTCTCTTCCATAAATATTTCGTTTTGGTTTTTCTTCAAATGCCTGAATTCATCCCCATATAGTCCTTGATTTTTTACAAACTCCCTATCTATTTATGGATGAGGTTTTCGAATCTAAAATAACAAACCTCCAAGTTACTTTGATTTTAAAGTAAAAACAGCTTTTTATCGGAAGCTTTCTATACGATTCTTTGATGCACGGTCTCTCCCCTCCTACAGTTTTCATATCTCTGCAACTCAACTCACATTTCACCGGCTCCCATATCGTGGTTCACGCTTTACAATATCGACGAGATAACCATCAAGACCGGCAAGTGTTTCTCTTGGCGATGGGCGGCTTGCCGGCCATTCCCCCGATCCTTATCTTTTACCTTGGACTGCCGGTTGGTGTAATTGTTGGCCGGAGCCGAGCGAACGATGAACCGTCTTTGAACATGCCCCGGGTGTGTTTGGACCCGGGGTGACTGTCTCTCTCATCGGTGGCCGACCCACGGCCAACGGCACTCCGACCTGGTCACCGATCTACAATTGGTCGTCGGCTTCGTTGTCCGCCTTAGTACAATGCAGAGAATACAATTTTAAGGATGGTGAATGTTGCACGGAAAATCTATGATAAATGGCTTTTTTTTAAGCTACTAGATTCCGGTCAGTTTTCAGAAAGTTAAGAAAGCAGTCAGTTTATATTACGCCCGAAATTTGAAGAGGGTACGTATACATTTTGTGATATCGTCTTGTAATACTTATATGGAGTTCTATAGCGCACATATAAATTAAATCAGGTTCTCAAGTCGAGGTACATTATTATTACCCCAGCTCAACGGGCCAATGAAACCCATTCAAAAGACCATCTCAGCTCCCTGGGGAGTATACAGCTCGATGCTGCCATGTCGCTGCAATTGGCTAAATCAACTATACACAACCATATCTGCCCTCAAAAATGTGCCCATTTCACTCCTGGGTGGGGAGAAACAATGAGTAACAAAGTGTCTTGCCTTGAGTTGCAATGACACACGCACCGCAACCCCAGGCTGGACTCGAACCCACAACCTGCAAGGGCGGATACAGGGGGGGGGGGGCCAACGGGGGCCATGCCCCCCCCCCCAAAAAAAACCACCCCAACAATTTTGTTCAGTGACGTCGCAATAAAGGTAGGCACAGAGGCACTGCGTACACCACCATCTTTTCCTTTAAAAAAATGGGTCAAAGTGGTCAGAAATTGCCTGAGATCGCACCACAGAACAACTATAATCCAAAAAAATTCCGGGGCCCTTTAGTGGGCCCTGAACCCCACGTCGTAATTTGTTTGGCCCACTTTTTTGGGGGGATTTTGGACACCCCCCCCCCAAAAAAAACACCAAATTGTGTTCTTGATCCGCCCTTGACAACCTCCAGATTTACCGACAAGATCATGAGTTCAATGCAATAGACTGCGAGGCCGGCCACAGCACACTCTATGACGTACATTGTATATGACATTGACAGCAGTGTCCCCTCCCCCGAAAAAAAGGTAACATTGAATATATATTTTGATAGATGTCAATATCAGGTCGCACTGACATGTTCAGAATTAATGTCCAAATGGCAGGCGTAGACTGAAGCGTGAACGAGTTGATATCTCAATAGACCTTTATCATGCTGCCACCATTTCAGTCATGTTCCCTGCATCCAATAACAGTACTGAATGATAATGTTTTGTGCAAAATGGAACCAGACTGTTTTCTTTCCAGCCTCGCTTTGGTTACGTTGATTAGAGTTGGGAAAAAATCAAGATGGCCGCAACATGGTAATGGTCTACAGCTGCCGTCACTCACCATCAGATAATACAGAATGACATTGCTTTGTCTCAGTCTGGCCGTTTCCAGTGCATCCCAAACCGTTGCCTCACGTGCCTTTCTGTTTGTTTGTCCTATAGTTCATGTGTCATCTTTTCTGTTTGTTTGTCATCTGTCCATTTATACACTTCGACTCGGGCCGCTATTTAGTTGCTCCTCTCATCAGCAGCTGCTAATCCCACAGCCTCGACACTTACCTTCGAAATGTTGTGCAAAAGAATGTTGCAGAAAATGTCCAAAACTATAGCAAGTGTGGTGATCATGTATTACTTTTAACAAATGTATCTGAAGGTGCTTTCCATCGATCCAATTCGTCAGGCCACGAGAAAATTTGCAGCAATTCGAGACTAGCGGGCCTCGTTCCTAACCGTTATCCACTCGCATGCAGATCGCATAACCCATGAGGTAAAAGGAGGAATGTTTCTGGGATGAGATAAAATCAGTGTGGTTCTTCGCAGTACCACACAATAACTCACAAAACAGATCTTCTAGTACATAATGTCAAAGCAAAGGTGACGCGAGAAAGCTTATAAAGTATACACAATTGCTATACAAGCACTTAGTCGCTATATGAGGCTGTATCAACTATCACTGTGACTACAATAATAGCATAAATATTATACAGCAGAGAAAATAACCCAAAAAAACCAGTTTCCCTTTTTAAAATGCGCCAAAACTTGCATAACAGAACTCAACCTCGAGTTATCTGAAATCGTTTTAGATTCATAAAAATATTATCGTTTGTCAATATCATCTCACTAGTAATGTTCAGTTTTCTCACAGAGATATTTCTCGAATCCTGTAAGGTCATTCATCCTTTGAATTTCCAGCTTTTTGTAATGCATCCATCGATGTCATTACGATTGATGTAAAGCTATGTTTGTTGGTTTTATTTCAAATAAAATGGGATAACCGCTACGTTTCTGTTGGTGAAGTTGTAAAAGAACAAAAACCTCGCCGTGCGCGCGCGCTCTTTTCACTATACACCAAGCTATCCGGCCGACAATCTCTGTAACAGCACAGCCCCAGGAGACTATATGCCGGAACATGTGGAGAAAAAAATGCCGCAATAAAAAGCAAGAAAAAAATTATAACTATAGTGATAAAGATTCAATATCGTTAGCTGACAATCGGCGACATCACAGTGAATGCTGCTGCACTATCTCTTTGATTTTCTCTCTCGGTGTTTGAAATTATTTTGCTGTGTATTTGTCACCCATCACTGCGGCTTTTGTACGGTGGAAGGAAAGAGGCCAAGTTGGATATACTTCTGCGGCAAATCTTTCTTTTTTTTCACCGTCGCAGCTCTTGGGGCATGCAGGGCAGGGTATTGTTCGGAGCCCATCACGCACTCACTCGGCACAAAGGACGGGGGGAGGGAGAAATCACAGGCAGGGCTGGCGCAAGATCAAAGCCTGGGCCGCCTTAACTCTTTTTTCTTTCTCTCCCTCTCCAAAAACCCGCGGATAAGGACTTATAAATCGTACGGTTGAATCACCACCCGCGTTCCCCGTGTGTGCTTCATGTATCCCACAGGGGAATGGGGCATCACTTCAAGTTTATAAGCACAGTCTAAACCGCCTCATCCCTTTGGTACAGATTTCTCCTCCTCTGCCTATCGAAGACAGCACAAGACAAAAACGTGTTTCTCCTTCCAAAATAACTTTAGTTCTTTCCCTTAACCTTAAATATCTTTTGTTCAAGATGTGATTCTGGAGTTCGTGACGGCTCGACGAGCAATTGCGACGAGCGCCCTCAATATTTTGGGTCAAGAGCGCCCTCATGGTATGTTTGCGTTAGTCATCTTCATTAATAGCAAATTAATTGGCATGTTGATAACTATCATACTTGTTTATTTTGAATTCAGAATATCCATCAAGATGACTTTTTTTATAGACAAGCCGGAAGATTCTTCAAGACATAGGCCTACATGATAAACCCCATCCAAGAAAAAGAGAGTTGTCTTAAACTGTCAAAATGAGCTTTTGGACTAGAAACATGGTTTTCAATTGCCCCTGCTTTAAGTAGACATTCGACAACAACAAAAAAATCGCAGGCGGGGAGAAGAAGCTTAGGCGGGAAAATTGTAGGCGGCATCCAACAATCAAGTCGGCCGCGGATAGAGGAGAAAAAAAGAGACGGGGCGACCGGCATGTCGGAGGGAGAGAGAGAGAGAGCTAGGCCGAGTCAAAGCGAGCGCAGCGCGGCGTAAATTTTTCCACTTTGGACGGTCGGCCAGGCGGAAAGTTGGTAATCCGGGCGGCCTCCCGGACAGAAATGGCGGCACACGTTTGTCGCTGCGAAAGCAGGTTATGGAATATTGGTATTGAGGGTGATATATCGTTCTGATGAGGTGAAACCCTGAAGGGCCACTCTTGTATTAATAATGTGGTGTGACAAAAAGAAAATATGATCATTTGTTTTCCGATTTGGCGTGGGGATAACATCGGGATTTTTACCACGGCATTTTCGCACCGATTCTTTTTGTTTTCGTTTTCATTTATGATTTTGTATTAAGTCTACTTTGCAAATATGGTTACAGTTTAGAGGACACTACACAAAGTTAATTGTTAATATCAAAACAAAATGGCAATTTCTGGCAACATGTTTTTTTCTTTAATATATTAAATTGATCAATAAAAATATGTTTGCAAGGACTAAAATATTCAAGTATACATGTATTTGACAAAACATTGTAAAACTAGTCACTTTCAGTCTGACGCTTGTAGTATTCTATAATCTATAGCTTTATGATACTAGCCCAGGAAAGTCACAAGACTATACTGAGAAAAAAATCATTGGCCGTTATTTTATAACTGACCTTTTAACGGGAACACATGTTTTTCTCTTTGTTGACACTTCATTAAGTCTGTTTTCGGATAGGTTCACTTGTTCACATACCAGGCAAGGGAAACCTTTACCATCGTCAGAAGTCAGCATGTTCATATCTTAAATTCGCTATACTGCATTATTTAGCCGTGAAGAATAGTGTTGTGCTTAATATTTACAATGCATGATGCTTAATGTACTGAGATGCACCACTCTTGTGAAGACGACATTGCATGCCGACTCGACTTGTCAATATAGAATTATTCGAGGTGGATGTGTGTAGAATTTGTACGTTGAAGCAAGTTCAATATCAGGGTTGCTCAGCAACGCGCAACCTCATTCCCGATGCAGGGGCATTTCCACAATTATTACTACCAATAACTGCATTCACTGCTTTTGAAATTAAAGATTAAAATAGACACAGGGAAGGAGGTTGGGACACGCCTTCTTCAAATGACCTCTGCCAGCTCTGCACTTAATTTAGACATAAATTCTGCACATTAAATGTTAATATTTATGCAAAAGGTTCAAAAATATTATGCGGTTTCAGGTTTAAAATGGACACGTAGACGCCGCTCCAGGAGACTTTAAAAATATGCCTTCAATAACAGGACTCTTTGACAGAGCTGCGCATGCCTCAGGGTATGGACTAGTGAGAACTCGCAAAAAAAAGAACGTGTTTCATGAGAGTCAACATTTCATACGACGCCGAGGGGCGCCCTCTCCCATCCAACCATTTTATCTGCCGCCATTGGACGATCCATAGACTGGCCCAGTCACCAGAGAGTTGAAGTTGACGGTAAGGAAGACCGTGCTGTGGTCCCTCAGCGTACGGATGTAGTTCAGCGATGCCTTCTGATCCTGCTCCGTGATGTTGAGATCGGAGTAGATACGGGCCAGACCGAGGCTGTGGGAATTCTCCACCTTGGCGCGCGAATCCGCCTGGGCCCGGGAGCCAATCAGGGCCGCCTGCGCTGTTGCATTCTGGAAAATTTCCTCAGCAGCGTTTTCGATGTTTGTGACCTGCAGCAATACAAATGCAGAGGTTGGACGAAATAGTTTGAGTTATTGTGCCAATTGTTGGTTTACAAAAATATCTGCAGTGTTGTAATAAGCAGGGATGTAGTCTAAACAATTACAAGTCCCTGTAGGTCCATCGCAAGTCCTCCACTCCCAATTCAAGTGACAAATTGAAGCTATTCAAATGAGCTTTGACAAAGGTATCCTTTGTTATTGTTCATCCACTTTACTTACGACTGGACTTGTCACTGAGCTGATTTACTTGTGACTGGGCTTATGAAGGACTCGACTACATCCCCGATGGTAAAGTAAATCAAAAGTCAAAACACAAGTCAATCACGAGTCAACAATCATTGGTGTAAAGTTGCTGTGTTGGCTTTTCTATAACGGGCATTGTCTCAAACAACATAATGAGTTTTTAAAAAAGTACTAATTTTCATATGCAGCACAAGACAAGTCCTACTTTTTCACAACCTGAAACAACATCATATCCTATGCAATTTGAATGATGCTGCTTTCTATCTTTCAACCTACTATCTCTTCCGTAGTCTTCCTCACGAGCTGTTCCTGCTGTCTATAAATCTCCCGCTCCCCATCCTCCAGCTGTGTCAGCGTCTGGAGGTTACGACCAAGCACCTCTTCGGGGATTTTCACGTAGCCGAGTTGGAAGTAGCGCACGTCGGCGTACAGGCCCTTGTCTTCGTCAGTGCAGTCCTCGGGTTGCTTACAGCCTGGCTCGCATCCTAAGGTAAGACGAATAATTTTATATAATTAATGAAATTTTTACTAAACTCGGGTTGGCAGATTTAATCGGAAAAGTTGCTGAGTTAATATGCCGCTGTACTAATGACGTCACACTTTGTTTACGCGTGTGCTTTCTTAGGGTGCTCAGTGGACCGTGGGCCCCCACTGGCTCCATAGGCCAGTGCACATGTAAACTAAGTGTGACGTCATTAGTACAGAGGCTTATGATCGGAGTATGAAACAGCTGAGAAGCTAGTCAGTAATGTAACTATGGGGAGGGGCAATGGCGCCACGCTCCTACCCGCTCTAGGCTCGAGACCCCCACCCCCAAGTGCGACCAATTTCAAATTTTGGGGAAGGCAAAAATGAAACTTTTATTGCAAATCAAAATAAATGAGCGTCCCCTCCACCGAACATAAAGCCCCAAATTGCCCAACCCACCTCCACCGGCAAATTGGGCCCAAGATACGCTACAGGAACAGGTTGCAAGTAACCTTGCATACTAGTTTGGCTAGGATAATTAAAAAAAAAAATAGCTAAATTTTGTTAAGGAGTTCCATGAAATATTGACCCGAACTGTTGATCTTTGGTAAATTTTGTTCCACCTCTAAATCCATGTTACAATGTGCATTTAAGTACTGAGATAGCTCCCAGCCCAAACTTGTTGGTGTAGGAAAGCGGAATGTACACAAAAATACCCAAAATGCACCTACCTTCCGGTAGGTCTTGACAGAATGGCTTACAGCACGTTCCTCCCAGCCGCCTCCTGATGGCAGCGAACAGCGTCTCTTCGATCAGGGCCCGATCGGAGCCGAAGTCCCGCGGCGAGAAGGCCGATGTGGCCCCCTTGAGCGCGTCCACGGCGCTGTTGCGGAGCGTGTCCTCGTACTGTAGATCGTAGGTGTCGTGGAGCAACTTCAAGTCCTCGGGACGCAGGAAGTACTGGAAGGTGCAGTCAAGACTGACCTGGAAGACAGAGGAGGGGTGCCAAAGATTGTTGTCCAATTCTTGAATGGTAACTGCTTTAAGGGTCCACGAAGTGATTTTTATTCTCAGAAACATGTTTAGTGCAATATTCAAATTGTCTTTTATGCATGGACAATGTTAGACATCCTTTTTTGTTAAATTTTATTGCAAAGTGAACTTCTTTAAACATTAAAAATTGTCCATGCTTTTTTTTTTCGGACAACCGAGGGTGCTTTTGCTGCGATGTCATTTCGGGAAGACACTGTTCGGTTTAGGGGTTTTCTGTTCAAATTGTGAACCGAACATTTGCTTATTGAAAATAATTGTGTGAAAAATTTGCTCATTGGCTTACTGCCCTGTACTGACAGAACAATGAATCACCAAAGAAATGTAAAGTTAGAGAAATAGCTCAAATTCTGGCAACTTTTGGTGCTGAAATAGCTGTAACATTGAGGTTTCTGCCTAAAATGACATCACACTTTTGCTTATGAATATGGAATTTCGCATTAGCATAAAAACCAAAAAGGCACAACATACTCTTCGAAATGACAAAACGAAAAATGAAAAGCGGGTTAAATGGGATACAAAGGTGCATTTCCAAGGATTGCATTATAAAACATTACAATTCATTGGCCCTTTATAGTTTGTTTGTTTGTCGTTCGTTCAGTCAGTCGATTGGTCAGTTGCTTGTAAATTCAGGAGCATGGTCGGTGGTTTGCTTGTTTACTATTGGTCAATCAGTCGCTTGGAGCATGAGCAACAGTCAGCGGTTGTCAGTCAGTTAGTGAGTCAGTCTGTCAGTTGGTCGGTCGGGGAGTGGGTTGGTCGGTCCATCAGTAAGTGGTCAGTGAATCAATTGGCCTGTCAGCTGTCAGTGGGTTGGTCGGTCGGTCGGTTGATTGGTCACGGATCGGTTTGTCGCTCATCGGTCGGTCAGCGATAATTGGGTCCGTCACTTGGTTTTGAGGCCAGCATCTTCTTCTTTTCTATTACGGTGTAGCGTGAATATCCGACTCCATGAAATATGGACTCATTGGTAGTATCGCGCATGCGTAAGTACGATAGTATGCTATTTTTAGAAACATAATGGGAGAGTGACCTGTCACTATGGCACGTGCGAGGGATTAACCAATAATAGGTAAAAGGAGTCCCGTTTTCATAGGAGTCGGATTTTCATATGACAACGGTACAACATTCAAATAATTTTAAAATGATGAAAATAATTAAAAATCCTTCCCACCTCAAGTCGATCTCTGGTGAAGACTCCAATCGATTCCAAGCTCACCATGTGGGCGTCGGCTTTGAACACCTTGAATTCGGCATCGAGACCAACGTAGTGATGCCCGGCCTGGTAAACAATGCTGGTATCGACGGTACCGCTAGTTTTACGCCTCACAAATCCCATCTGCCCAATTTACCGAGACGGAAGAATTTCGATTAATCGAGTCCGAAAAGGTCGCATATGTTCAGTGTCGAAATCGATACTGTATACGTCTTGAAATACTGGCCCATGTTTAAAACAGACTCAAAGGTGTGTGTTCTCAAAGGACCGCAGCATTTCTCCTTTTCTGAGGTGTTTTTATAACTCAAGGAATAACCCCACTCCAATCGCTGAAACAGAATGTTTAAAACTTGTCTTAATACTATCGTTGCCAGGAAAAGTCGTGCATTTCTCCGGACACGTATAAGACCCATTGACGATATTAAGCTGAATCAAAAAGTTATTAAAGTGAAAGACTTACACATTTCACTAATTGATTGCATATTGGTGGCTTGATTAGCTGGAGTCTTTGCCAATGATGTCCAACTTTCACAGTGAGTTTCAATCACAATGAGTTTAACCTTGTCACGCCTTAAACATCGTTACACAGTATCGTGATGGACGTGATCATGCCATTCACCGTGCAATGCTGTGACGCTTAGCGTGATCACGCACAGCACGTTAACGTTCTACACAATCTCACGTTACCTCGTAATATTCCACACCTTGGAAGGATACGGCGACGAGGATTATGATGAGAAGGACCACGCCAATGGCGATTGTCACCACACAGCTCACAGCGCCACCTTGACCCATGACGCCACTACCAACGTTCCCTGTTTTCTGACAAGAATACTGCATTAAAATATTGACTAACACACCTATTGGCAAATTCACGGGTAGCAAAAGACCATTATCATGTTGCGGCCATCGTGATTTTTCCCCATTCAAATCAACGTAACCAAAGCGAGGCTAGAAGGGAAAAAATCTGGCTCCTTTTCGCACAAAAACAATTATAATTCAGTACTGTTTTTGGATACAGCGAACATGACTGATAATTATGGTGGCAGCATGAATAAGATCATTTTTTAAATGCAATTCCTAATTATAGTCAAAGACTACTATGCGCATGCGTCAGTTGGTAACGGAATGGTTCTCGAACATAACCTCGCTATAAAAAATCCATAGAGTCATGAATTAGGAATATAAATGTGCAATTTAAAGGGAAGATACAATATTTGCAAACATTAAAAAATAAAATGGTCACATTTTCACGAAATACCTTACTGGATTGTTAGGGAATGACAGTCTAAAGCATCCTGTAAAATCGTGGCTCCCGGTGTACTGACATTTTCACGAAAAAAATGTATTTTTCCCAACGCTGATCGGCCGACCAGCTTTGGAAGAAAACTTTCTTTTTTTAAATGCTCCTAATTTTTCATATTTAGTTATTCCGCATTTTTTTGCAATTGATTGCACACCTGTGAAGGGGTACGCGCCCTGCTAGACTGATTCTCTATACCTTACACTTTCCCAAAGTCTATAAATGTTCTGCTCGGTTTCATCCAAAGTGGGTCAGGGAACCAGACTACGAGAACACGAATGGTTTTCTTGGTTTTCCAGCATCTACAAGCCCAAAACGTGAAACAAGTCAATTTAACAATATTTGCTACAACATACTAATCCTCCAAATCCATTTATTTTTGAAAATTGTAACAAAGGCAAATGTTGTACATTCCTTTTAAGATAGACAACTTTCAAAGGAACATTCAATCACGTGATTTGTTCCAGGCGCATGCGTACTAAGGTAAATGACTTCAATAGGTTGCGGAAGAAAAATGCTTACGGGTATATGATGAAAAAATTAAAATGGAGGGCCTTTGTCAAAGGTCACATAATGGCTGAACGCTAAACTTGAAACTGAATTGACTTGAAACTTGTAATTGGTTGTTTTTTTGTGCCGTATGAGGAGGCGTGACTATAAGCGTTTGCTTGGACGCTTCATCGATATTCTGAAATATTTTGTCTTATTCGTTGTTCGGGATATCAACGTTAAAGGGGCTCGGGTTCAGACTCGGAACAATTCGCCTGTGTACGAATTCAATTCGCAATATTGCAACTGAAGCACACTTAGAAGAACAAAGTATCTTTATCGTTCTTACTTCGTGCAGTGTCAAGCCATTATGCAAAATAGCGTACCCTCTCTTTCAAGTCAAACATGCAAATAACCAGTTGCAGGGGCGTAGCAAGGTCATTTTATTGGGGGGGGGGGTGTTAAAAATCTCTTGAAAAGGGCACTTGCACATCCGTGCTGAAATGTAGACACGGTTTTTTTCTCCGGACACTTGGCCTCCGTAAAATCAAACAGTGGGGCGCTCCCATCGATACCTGCCCCACCCCCACCCCCACCCCCGCTGGCTACGCCTGTGAGTTGCCTACTCAAAACACTGCTACGTTGACTCTTAGTCATATTTCCGTGTTTCTGTAGACCATACAGTTTACAAATTGATTCAAACAGACATCGGAGTACTTGTTTGAACTTTTAAGAGGATGACTGAAGTTGATATCAAGCCACGAATGTATGATATAGATAAAAGTGACTTTTACAAATAGTATAAGCTCACAAGTTGATGATTGAAGTTGGTAGATACACTAGTTTATCTCTACAGGAAAAGTTATGTCCACATTGCCTACTTGATGTCGAGACCGTAGTGCATATTCTTTTAGCTTGTCCTTTGTATTAGATCTTTGGAAAACCTTTTTAGTGACGTTTGTAAATGGAGCCAGGTTTGAATGGTTCAACAAAAAAATGACCAATTCATTTTCCTTATGTCGTCTGCCTTCCCAATGTACAAGACATAAGGAAAGGCAAAGCATGATATAATTTAAAAGGATACTCTTTGTAAACCCATTTTATGTTAAATTTCACTGTTGTAACCCATCCCCAGGGTTACGGGGTTTGGTTCCTATTTGTTGAATAAAGCACAACATAACTATAAAGCTGCAAACGTTTGTACAATTAAAATAACAAAACAGACAAAACATAACGCTGTTACGAAACGATTAACAACTGATGAAACTGCCTCCAAGTGTGGCAAACTAAAATGCCTAAAACATTCCATAGACTTGAAGTAGGCTATACCAGATTAAACCATTGCTATGACGTCACACTATTGTTAAAAGTGTGGATTCGGAACAACGAATCTGTTACGCTGGTCACAAAGTGTGGATTCGGAACGAAGAATCTTTAGTAAAGTGTGGATTCGGAATTACGAATCCACACTTTGAACACGTCAGACAATTGTTCTCTATAATGAGCATTAATAGGACCGTATGCGTTAAAATATCCTTCCGAAATTACGAATGCATCTTCACTGTCAGATTCTCCGCCGTCACTGCAAAACCTACTTCGAGTCACAAAGAAATCATCATCTGAACTATCAATTTGTCGACGGAAGGAGCCGCGACAAATGTTGCAACCTGACGCCACTTTTTTCTCCATATATCATCTCAATGAAGGGCATTCATTGCAAAAATGATGATAAGACATGAATCTGGGACTGAGAAGTATTTTCAATTTTGTTAGGAAATATTTTTAAAAAAATCTTGACTCTCCCTATACTTTGTACACAATCGCGGAAGTGGCGTCAGGTTGCAACATTTATCCCAAGTCTTTTCATCTCCACTCACTGTTAATGCCAATACTTCATTTGACGCAATGGTTTAAGTCGAAGAATACACTCGCAAGTGTGGATTCTTAATTTATGAATTCACTCGGCGCTTCGCGCCTCGTGAATTCTTAAATTACGAATCCACACTTTCTCGTGTATTCTCCTTAACTGAATTCATTATTTATAGAGCAAAAAAAAAAAGAAGAGAAACGCCAAACGCGTGCTGTGGAGCGTCGTATATGGAGGAATTCCGGCCCAGTATACAACACAAACAGCGGCCAGCTCATCATCAGTTCGGTCAACACAATTAGCCGTCATGATGGCACCTTGCGGCCGTTATAAGCAAAAAATATCTGTAAAGAATCCAAAATTCATACCTTGCAAAATGTGAAAAGAAATCCCAGAAGCAGAACTTATCCTTCCACGGAGCCGAATCCAGAATATGGTTTATGAGATAAAACAAATGGAAGTTTGTGAGAATTAATGATAGGATTTCTTTTTACATCCGTGTGTTACGTGAGTGAACAAGGCTTGGCAAACGGAAGCAGGAAACGGTATCCCGGATAACCTGAACCCAGGGTAAATGGAAGTTATAAGCCGACAATGACCTGGATTGACAGAGAAAATAATAGCCGCTACTAGACTCAATCTAAAGCAATGATGTGCAATGTAGTTGGTATATACATGTATGATTTCATCGAAAGAAGAGATGACTGTTACACCCTGATTAATTTCAAAAAAATAATTCCGGTTTTTGATTTTCGACTTGTCAATTTCTATGTCACGTCCGCCGGTTGGAGAATCGTTGACATTGGTGGATTTGAGGGGGGCGTAACGGGGGCCATCCCCCTCCCTCTTCAAAACCGATGGTTATATGTTAACTATGCATTATGTGCCCATTTTCAGAGCGTATTGTATGCGTTTTGGGGCTTGGTTTTCATATTCCTCGTTTATATCAAAATCATCTATTGGGAAATGGTTACTTCTAAGAAATAGTAAGATACTTTGAGCCCATCATTTGTTTTTATCTCGAGAGGGCACTTTTATTCTCGAGGGGTCACATTTATGGCCGCAAAAAGGGCAATTGGGAAAATCTGGGGGGGGGGGGCAAATTCCCCCCAGCCCCCCGGTTCCGCCGCCCCTGTGAACTATACTATATACTTAATCCCTTCCCCTTTTTGAGGAAAAAAATACTCCAGCCCTATCCCCCCACCCCTCCTGAAATTTGGTTCTGGATCCGCCCTTGAGTCCCTTGGCAGCCTTGAACGAAAAAGGAGAAAAGTACAGTGCTTTTGTCTGACCGTGTACGTCCCGTTAATAACGTATAATCATAAAGTATATCAAAATACATGAAGCTTTGAAAATACATTTATTGCTTTACGTTGGAAAATCGTAGGCAAACCCAACGGGGGATCTTCCCAAGACATTTCAACAGAAGTACAGTAGGCTATATTGTTGATGTACCCTAACGTGGCGCGGCCCCAACGTGGCGCACTTTGATTTTTCGCCTGTAGCGCCTAGCTAGAGCAAAAGTTTTAACTGAAATTTCACAGAAAGTGAAATTTCATCAAGTTCTAAAGACTCCCGCTCATAAATCGCGAGTTTATTTACCCGTTACAAAGTTAGAAGAAACAAATATTTTGGCGTGATTTTCCGATTCTATTTTCAAGTGCAAAGTGAACCCTTTGAAAATGCCCCGAAAAATAAGAAAATAATTTTCTGACATCCATCTGGCTGGGTGTGTATGTAGAGATAATAATGATTTATCAGAATTTATCAAGTTTACAGAAATTCTTAAATGTTGATTTGGAATTTTTCGAGATTTATTCAAGTGCGCCACGTTAGGGAACACTCCGCCAATTTGTGCCCAATTTCCGAACGCCACCGTTTTTGAATTTCGGATTAAATTTTATGAAACCGAAATTGTTCACAGAGGTTAAATAGCAAGCATTAATGAGGTAAAAGTACTAGTATTTTTCTGCATGAATTTGAGGTTTGTCAACAAAGAGGTTTGGCAACATTACACGAGGAAAGTTGAGTAAGCTTCGAAGTGCGCCACGTTAGGGAACACGACTATATAGACAATTAACGAGTCTTAGACTGTGGAATTATTGCTTGCGTGACGTTGGTTTAAAATTTGTGGAAGTGCTGGGGATGACCTCGGCCCTGGTTCCATAGCAAATATTACGCTCAGCTAGAACTATACTATTGACGTCAAGTGCATTATTTTAACAACCACTAAATTCTCTGAAGGTCTGATGTGAGTGGCCACTCACTAACACGCAAAGCCTCCATACATAAACATCAGAGTATAATCGTGTCTGTTAATCAGGTTATACAATTTCAATCTTCCATATAACAATATTGGGCGTATGTATAACTACATGTATTTTAATACAAGTTAACCCTAAAGGGGCCGGGCGGAATCCGCCTCCCCCTCGACTTTTTCAGCGATAGTTTTGAAGAAAAAAAAACAAAAACCCACAATTTCGTGACCCGAGCTGTTATGACTTTTTAGCTTCGAGCCTTTTTGCGCATCTTTAGATACCAAAAACATAAAATTCGGACCACGGTTGCCGAGCAGCGAACATTTTGCCGTTCCCATATACGTAGTGTACACAAAGCAGAATTACCATTCATGCATATGAATATTTAATTAGCCATAATGCCAAAACCCTTTGACTTATAGTCATGAAATTTCTTGGGTATGTTCATGATAAGTTGTTCTATGCATGTACCGAGTTTCATATTTGTTCGTCGCTCGATGATTGAGATCTTGGGGGCGCCCCCTGGCTGAGAGATGGTCAAACTAGCCCGGTCCTTTTAGGGTTAAAGCTGTAGACCGTCTTTCACATAAACGTTACAATGAAAATTCGTTACGAGAAAACCATGCACGGACACACAAAACTAATAATTATAACGTGTTTCATTCAGCCTGAGCGCCAACGGCGATGTACTATGTACCACCGTATTTTCAAAACTTTTCTCAAAAGTTTGGCAGTAGGCTAAACTGTCATCTGTATCGTGGCATATCTTTGGAGCAAAAACCTATGTAGCAATAGTTATGGTATCACTAGACAGCTAATTAGTTGTTCTTCAACAAACAAGGTGTAAATATCTTGAGGGAAAAGTCAACGGCGAGGGTTATTCCTCGTATAATGCTGTGGCAGGTGAGTCTCACTGAAAAGCGTTGTTGGTATAGAGCGGTCGGGACGATACTTCGTACGCTGTGATTTCACGCAAGCGGTCAAGAACAAATCCAGGAATCTCCGCGGCATATGACCACAGAATGACTGCATCGACATACAGACCTCGTTGCTGATCTGTACATTGAGTTGGAAGTACACAGTCCTCAAGACAACCTGCGGACAAAAAGGGAAACGTTTTTATTCACAAACATTCACTGGAACTACAGGTTGTCCCGGCTATTTTAAAAGACTTAAATTTCACACGCTTTCAACAAAACCGTCATTAAAAGCATTCAACTAGAAAAGCTTGGTCACCCTCTATAGTCACCGGTCGCGAATATTCGTCATTAAAGATCAAATTCGTCTAAGCTGCTGCCGAATGGCAGCATTCAGAGATCGAATTCGTCTTATATACATCGGTTAGACGAATTTGATTTCTGAATAACAAAGTTTGACGGTAGACAGACGAAATCGAATACTAAGTACCTCCGGGAAGAAAACGTGTGCTCGTTGTTTGAATTTGCTTGAACTGAATTTGAAATTGTCTGACAAAAGATGAAAGTAAACATTAGAAGTGCACTAAATCGATGTTGATTGACGAATTTGTTAATTAGAAACGGTGAATTCGAATGATAAACGTTTTAAAATAACCATGTTAGAAAAGAGGCGGGAATCATTTTACCTGGCGCGAACTGAATTATCGAACGCAATAGTCCGAAATTCCTATAGTAACCAAAACGACAGCCGTTTTTACGACAGATGTCTTCTCCAAATGTGAGTAAATATTCCCGAGAAAGCAGCAATACACATCCACAATCTTTTAGGGTGAAATCGAAAATACCACGGACATTGTATACAAGTTTGAGAGTTCCGATCATAAGATGGAATTTTGCATGGGGTGATGTAAATCAAATAAGGTTTTGCCCTCGTCCGAGTCCCACCCGAGTGATTTTTTCCCCCAACTTTCGGGAGGTATATCGGTAACACAGTATTCAGATGTTTATACGTCGGTGACGAGCAAAACTGAATTTGACAAAGAGTTCACGTTATGTTTCAGTTTGGGAAAAAAAGTGTGCGAAGGGGGCTCCAAAAAATGGCGGAAGGGGCTTAACTTTTTAAAGCAAAATCGGAGTTGGGTGTACCTCCCCAGACCCCTTAGCCCCTCCTGGATTACAAAATCATCTGTCTAACCTTCCGGCAGCGTCTCGCAGGACGGCTTACAACACGTCCCCTCAAGTCGTCTTCTGAGACCATCATACAGCGCACGTTTAATGTCCTGATCATCAGCGGCGTACTCACGGACGCTGAACTCCGGCCCTACGCCCTTCAACTCGTCAACGGCGCTCGACTCCAGCGCCCACCCATAGCCCGATCCGTAGATAGCGTAGAGCTGTTGGAAATTCTCTGGGCTGATGTGGTACTGGAACGACACGTTGAGTACAACCTGCAGGCATGCAGAGTATTTCATTAAAACAAATACATTATGTGCCCACACACTTAAAGGCATATATATATAGGATCACTTTGCAAACACTAAAAAACGGACTTGCCAGAATTTTATGAAAATAGCCCACTTAATAAGTAGTAGTGTGAAAGATCATGTGAAATTGTTGGGCCTGGTATGCTGTCATTCTCAACAGAAAGGAGGAATTTTGTATCAGTACTTAAACGATGGTTATGACATATTAATTATAAACAATCGCCTCGACCAAGGGGTTTATGGGTTCTATGCAAGAAAGATTCCGCGAGCCGCTCTAAGATGAACAGCGTTCTTTTTCTTCGCGTTTTTCCAGCGTCAATTTAGACCTATAGAGATTGCTGATTGCTTGAAAACATTTCCGTCATTTTGTGGGCATATTTCATGAAATTACGACAAATGCAAATGATCCTAATATGACCTCTAACGGTCCCGGTCAGAATTAACCCGGAAAACGAGTCATATTGATCAGATACTTTAAAATGACACTTTTTCCGGGCCAAAACGGCATTTCAAGTTCTGGATCATTTTCCAGGTCGTTTTAGTGACCCGCCGGAAAAGTCATTGACTAGGTGTAGGTCTGGTAAGAACCGGTTAACCAGATCGACGTTTCAGATAGCGTGCTCATTTCTTCAGGAATTACAGTTACCTCAATACTGCAAATACAAGTTCACCCCCCCCCCCACCTTTTTAATTTTCAAGCTTGTTTCTCACCTCCAACCTGTCACGAGTGAAGACTGGAAACGACAGCGTTACATTCTCAGTCTTGGATGGAGCAACAAATGTCGTCGGGGTTGGCTCAGTGGACAGGGCTTTTCGTGTGGTTACCCCAGGCTGGGGGGCTTGGGTAGCTGTGCTTTCCGCACGCTGTTCAAGATTTTAAAAAAACAACCAAGTCACTGATTTAAAACGTTGTTCGCAGTTCATTAAACGAAAATCAAGTCAATCATCGACCAGGTCGATTCGACTGAATTAAATTTTCAAGAAATTCTTTGTAAATATAATTTCAGGACTTATTGCTAGCTACCCATCCCTACATTCGAAGTCCCAAGGACAATGGGGATGGTGTTCTTAAACGGAAAATGGAGGGACCGGGAACCAATCTAAATAAAAACCAGACTTGAGCCAAGACTATTATACCTACCCTGTTTGCGTTTGTCACGGTCACAGCCACTACCGTGACAACTATGACAACTAGCACGATCAGGATAACTACTGCCACGATACACTTTACTCTTGTTGACCTCCGTCGATAATATTGTGTACGCGTTCGCGTTTCCATGTCTGCTGTCTGTCCACTTCTCTCTTTACGGTTGTGCTATGGTGTATAAAGGGGGAATAACAAATAAATTAAAAGTAATCAACGGTAGTTACCGTGGCCAAACTAATTGGCCAAAAGAATCGAAGGTTTAGCTATGCTGTTTATAATTGTGGTGTTGAAATTTACCTACTGCTTTAGGCCTAAATGACTAAGTATTTGCTTATGGGGTATTCTATGAAATGTACTGTATTTAAGGTGCATTTTGGTAAGCCCAATTCTGGTTCCACAGAGTTTCGAGGTACAACATGGTGGGTACTCACGTTTCAATGGTTGTCTACTGTAACTGTGTTGTATATGAGCTGTTATTTTTAGACGACCCGGCACTACGTGTATTTTGGTGGTGCGACAATGGTTGAATACGGAAGTGTATGGGGTGCGAACCTGACCTTCGATAATAGACTTGTATCGTGTGGTACAGTAGTAACCTTTTTTCTATGTTATGTCAAGACTCAAGAGCTAATCACCTTGAAGCTTATCGGGGTAAATGATAGTTCGGGAACTCGAACACTGACAAATTGCCTGGGTTAATTTTACCAAAGAAAGGGTGAAAACTGGAACTACCCAAACTTGGGTTGTTCTATAACCAAATGTTGGGGTTAGAATTTCTGCTAAATTCAACCAAAACTTGTGGTCATTCAAGACCATATTTAATTTGGTCTTGTATGACTACAACAGAACTTTTGGTTGAATTTAACATAAATTATAACCCAAACAATTGGTTGTAGAACAACCCAAGTTTGGGTAGTTCCAGTTTTCACCCTTTCTTTGGTAAAATTAACCCAGGCAATTTCTCAGTGAATGCTTAGAAACTCGACAATTCTACTTGTCGGGATTACGAACGTCAGAGCTAGCGTTTTCGAATTAAATAAATAAAATGGCATTTTTGTTTCAAAAATTATTGATACTATTGAGAAAAAACAAAGATCTTTGCATACCTCCACGAAAGTTGGCATTAAGATATATTCGGAAAGAAGAAAACGAAAAGAAAAACGCGATACAGAAAAATGGCACAGATTTCATTAATACACAAACTCAATTTTTGAAGCCAAAGGCAATCATTTTATTTGGAAAACGCAATCATAGAACTTTCATTTTTCAAAGAGACATGTCACATCAAATAAAACCGAAATATGTCTTGAGACGCTTTAAAAGATGAAAGACTTTCTATACACACATGCACAATTTGTAATATATTTCTATACAACATGTAGTTTGAAATTGCTTTGAATGTAGAATTGCACTTAGAAGTGATAAAAGTGTAAATAACTGTCTACTGCATACATTATGTATAAAGTATAATTTAAATTCCTTCATATTACTTTGTTTTTAATCTGCACTTGGTGTTCTCTTAAGGGGAGAAACATGGTTAAAATGTTTGCATATTTCGATGAATAACTAAACAATTAAATAACCTATTAATGTCATTATGAAAAAAAAATAATTTCCACTTAAATTTTTGCCTCAGACAGATAAAAGTTTTCGAAGTTTTAACTTGCATATATTTGACTTGATTGTCGGAATCTGAACTGAATACAATCATTCTACACTGAAATAGCTTGATTGACCATATTCAGGCTGGAGGTCCTGGTACACATGTAAATATTTGGTTTGAAATATTTTGTTTGACCTTTTATGTTTCCAGACTAATTTTTTTTTTAACAGGGATGGGGGGAGGCAAGTTCCCGATTTTCTAATATTTCAGGCTTTCGAGTTTTCTTACTTTTTTTTTTACGTTGCTCCAGACCTTCTTTTCCTGTTTTTTTTTCTCTCTACAAATTTCGAATTTTTTTGTCCTACAACTCTGACAAATGAACTCTCATTGAATATTTTTTTTTCATAACAGCGTTACACACTGTCATATGTAAATCACACAATAAAGGACTTGGGCACAGAGTACTGCATCTGTACTTCCAAGAGATTTAGTTGAGGATGGAGCACAATTGTGTTGTGAGTACAGAACATGCCAAATGAGGCTTATGATGCTGTGGACATGGATGAGTATCAACGAAAACTACTCCTAAAAGCCCACAAAAGTCCTACTTTTATCCTGATTTTGTCCTTCCATGTCCTACTTTTTGTCCTGATTTTGTGTGTGAAAATGTTGATGCTATTGTTCTTCTTGTTCACTTTGGTCTGCCTAAAAGCCTGATATTTGAGTAGTAGAACTATTCACTTTCCCCCTACATCCGTTGTCTAGGGTTAGTCATATTCTAACTTCACATTTTTGTAAACAAAGTACATGTACAATGTACAACCAAACATAAAATGAAACCAACTCGACACCCTAACCCTTACTTTATGATACTGAAAACGTTGCTTTGAAACATCAATTAGTAATTGCTTTAAAAAGGTCATACAATGCTAGGCAATGATATCTTATTCAGCAGGATCATGTGTGATGGAAATTTAAGAAATTCAAAATTAGGCACTGACGTTGCTATGGATTGACCAATCAGTATCCAGGTTTCAAGTCTGCACAGTATGGGCCTTTTTCGAAACCCTGGCTTCATCTTCGTTTCGGCTTAAGGAAATGTTAGGCCCCAACTTCGGGAAGTCCAGCTACACTTTGGTGCCTGTTCTGCTTCAGGAACATTCAATCGGTTGATATGAAGCCGATGTAAGAGCTTGCCTCTAACCGATTCAGAAGTTGGAGGCAAAGCCGACACCGAGAACGTTCGAAAGCCCCCTTATGTCTTCATTGACATTTGGCCACATCGCTTGTTGTCTGTGGCAAAATGCCTTTGTTATAAAAATTCATTTACAATTTTCCAAACATTTTTAGGAAAACGAACTTCGGGAAGAATTCCTTCCGTAGTGACACCTCAAAATTCAATCACAAATAGTTCAAAACAAAACTTTATAAAATCACCACAAACAAATGTCTTTAACAATAAACACTCACTGCAATATAACTGAAATAACTATTCACGGAAATAAATAATTCACATATAGGCACAATAGAAAAATGTCTGTGGACCTGCTCTGTGAAGAAAATAACGTCTTAAATTTGCACTTTTTAGTGTCTCAATTAACAGTTAGAAACGTGGAGAAAAACATAACTTAAGACTTGAAAATTAACTCTGCTTTATTGTACACAAGTAATAAGTGATATATGGTACAAAATGAAGCGTGACGTGTGACGACATGTGTGTGTCCTGACCGTGACAACATCGAACGCCCAGCGCTGAATTGGATATGGAACAACGCATCATCTACAAGCTTGGAACGCTCACGCCAGGCGGTTTGAATGTGGATTTTTCTGCATTCAAACAGACCGTCCAGCTCCGATGAAGGCCCATTGTGGCTGAAAATTTAGCCAGAATAATTCCCGGTGACCACCGCTTTTACTTTTGTTTTCATCACTTAATAAGTGGTATATCTGTGCAATATCAAAAAAAATTTGTGAATAAAAATAACTTTGCTTAACCAGTGCATTGTTATGTGATTTTCCGAGCTCATTTTATGCACTGCAGTTTCGAACTTTGAAAAAAAACACCCAAAAGCATAACAGAGACCAAAACATATTTCAAAATGCACATGTTTCATATTTCAAACTTGTAATTATGATATGAACTCTTATTTGTAGAGAAGGACACAGTTTACAAGTGTTATACAGATATATAGTATATTTCTATATTTCAGCCATAGAACACATAAAAATAAACCAATACATGTATAATAAATCTGAAACATAGAGATAAATATTGTCTATCTTTCAAAATTGGAAAATGTATAACCAGTCTATTTCAGCAATATTTACATAGATGTATTTCAAAGGCAACATTATATCAGACAGTAGTTACATTCAATACATAGACTCATCTTATGTTTTGTCATTAAAAAAAGTAGGGTAAAAAATTGTCTTATTTGCACGTCTCTACAGGTAAAGCACTAACAAGGGCACATATGCCATTGAATTGAATAGATCAATTGATTATAAAATACATATTTGTACACATGTGTCTTTATTGACATACTTTGTGTTTGCTTTCTCTTGTGCATCAAATTTACAAAGGACACTTTACACACAATAAAACCCTTATGTCTGTGATGTGAACCTGAGGTCATAATTATTCGTGAGCTAGCCTCCGGTCATTGGCCAAATACTTCAGGTTCATGATTATTTATGATCGAGCCTAACTGTAATTGGCCAAGTACTTCAGGTTTGTGATTATTTATGATCTAGCTTCATGGTCATTGGCCAAATACTTCGGGTTCATGATTATTCATGATTGAGCCTAACTGTAATTGGCCAAATACTTCAGGTTCATGATTATTTATGATCGAGCCTAACTGTAATTGGCCAAGTACTTCAGGTTCGTGATTATTTATGATCTAGCTTCATGGTCATTGGCCAAATACTTCAGGTTCATGATTATTCATGATCGAGCCTAACTGTAATTGGCCAAGTACTTCAGGTTCATGATTATTTATGATCTAGCTTCATGGTCATTGGCCAAATACTTCGGGTTCATGATTATTCATGATCGAGCCTAACTGTAATTGGCCAAGTACTTCAGGTTCATCTGACTTTCAAACTATGTTTCAGTATAATTTTTCCAAGCATAATGCTCATGACTAGTATCAATTCTCCCACGTATTCTGGTTTTTTTTCCCCTTTAAAATGCTGCTAATGAGCTGGTTCATGATAAAAGAATGGCCCTCTGGGTTGATTTCCGGAGTAGGGCTTTGACATCAAAGGTGCCGTCGTTTGAGACCAGGATTTCCTTGCGCTTTAGCTGGCTGGTGGGAGATCTAACAAAACAAGGAAACAAAGTGAAAGACCAGAATTATTTTAGTGAAAAGAAACAATGGGCTAGATAGTTTTTCCTTTTCTGGCGGACCGAGACAGTCATGTTCATGCTCCAATGTAGAATGGTGTATCAGAAGTCTGACTATTTCAAGGCATGTAGGATCATTTGCATTTATCCCAAAAGCAGCCTAGCCAATTATTATCAAAGAGCTCGTTTGGATTAAAGATCGTACTGGTACTAAATACTTTCATTTAGGAGAAATCAAGAAATATAGATCTGATTTCCAACGATCAGTCAATTGACTGAACGTTGGAAACCAAATGTAATGTCGACAGAATTGTGTTTCGTGATCAAAAAGTTGCGAGTTGGATTCGCACTGGTTTCTCAAAGAAGTGTAATATGCACCGAGGTGAAACTTCAACAGAGTCGGTTTTGAACATTCTGCTTTGGATTTTGAGTGGTGGTATTATCTGAAATGGACTAAATACATGAAAAGCAAATGATCCTATATGCCTGGAAAACATGTTTGGAAAAACTGAACACAATGGTAAAGAAAACCCAAATCCAAAATCCAGTTCCATTAAATCACAAGTCTGGTCACAAGTACATCACAAGTCTAGTCACAAGTACATCACAAGTCAATTCACAAGTACATCACAAGTCCAGTCACAAGTAAATCACAAGTCTGGCCACAAGTACATCACAAGTCTGGCCACAAGCAAATCACAAATAGATCACAAGTCAATTCATAAAGTAAAGTTCATCAGATCGAGCTATGAGGCACAAAGATCAGACTAGGGGAGGGATAGTGCCGCCTCATATTCCTGTAGTTGCCAAACGATTCGCCTACACGAGGATGCATCGGCCAAGTGAAGGTCTATTAATTCAATTGTGGCTCTTTGTTTCTACATGACTTCCAGCTGTCACTCCTTGACATCCTAATCAAAGTGCGATGACTTCTGACCGCCCCCTTGCCCCCCCCCTCCCAACAAGCAAGAAATCTCTAATCATCCGACCATAGTTTGATTCTCTGCAAATCGAGGAAATCACAAGTTTCATATGTTTATGTTTTTTTTCTTTTATTCCCTTCAAGTGTATAATAATATACCTTGAGGGGGTGATTCGCACCCACGGAGAGAGGAGATTGTATATATTTTCATGCTTGGCGGGTTCGGGTTGAGGATGAAGGGGCACTATAACCAAATTAACCGCACTGTTGATTCTACGAGGACATACTCTAGGGGTCATTTCCAAACGGGGGAAAAAACAAAGATGACCCTGTCTTTTTTTTAAATCAAATTTTATATCCATTGAATTGATGTTTCTTTATCAACTCAATGTTATACCTCCAATGCCATTTGGAAGCACCGGTGTACTTAAGTCGTTTTCTACAGTTCATCAAGCTCTGGGCGGGCGGGGGGGGGGGGGGGGGGGGGGGGGGGGGGGGGGGGGGGGGGGGGGGGGGGGACACAGTTCAAACTAGGGGGGACACAGTTCAAACTAGGGGGGGGGGGGATACACCACAAGAAAAAACACACTTGTTTATCATTTTTACTTGTTGCTCGTTAGGGGGCCCGGCCCCACTGGGTACCCCCTTGGCGACAGGCCTGCAAACATACATTCTGTGCAAAGTTGTCCTTTCCGTCAAATCAATCAAGTGACTGTTTTCAACAGTTGACAGCTCCCAGCCTACATAAAGCAGGATTGACTGGCTGTGACTGTTTATGTAGCTTGATCCAGCTATGCTTTGACTGTAGGTGATTGATCAATCAGCCAGCTGTGCCTACCATTTGCCTGCTTTTGTCTGTTGACTGAATTCGACTAGTCACAGTGCTTGCTTGAAATATGATCCGACTGTTGGTGACTAGCCTGTGTAACAGGCATGACAGGGAAGAGGACAAAGGCCCCAGATTTCAATATTGACACTACTTAAACCTGAAGGCAGCCGGTTCGTTTCGCCTCAGATCACTTGAATGAATCATCAATTATCCACGACCAAATCCTTCAAAACTACCGCCAGTAATGGAAGAAAAAATTCAGCGTGGCATGGATATTATCATTCTCTAAATTCCGAACAATCCTGAAACTAAGCCAACCTTGAAGCATGCACAATGAAATATTTAAAGCTATAATCCATCATTTGTAATTTGTGCATTTTGTTCGTTTGAAGCAACAAAAGGGTTCAAAATCTAATGAAGGATACTGAACAACTAACCTGATGAAGTTTCAGCTAAGCTTCAGCTGTACATATCGAGAAAAACAGCATTCTAAGATCTCAATTTCAAATCAAAAGTTACTGAATCATGTTTTGAATTGTTTTGAATTGCAGCCATACGCGACGTAGCGCACTGATCCGACGAATTATAACAACCGCGCGCGCGTGTGCGTCGTTCCAATACTTGTGCGCGCTGCGCTGAATAACAAAACGAACTACTAATTTAAATTTTCCTACGGTGCTTCTTAAGAATCACCGTTGGAAATGCCTTCTTTCGTTGATTACTTCAAAATGACAGCTTCCCAGAAGGAATAATTTCACAGGGAGTTTAGTTCCCTTACTATCTTTCAACCAAGTTTGTTTTTCAACAATAATTACGCCAGTTACTTTTCGGATGGCTGCAAATGATGGACTATAGCTTTAAAATGGTCAGGAATCGGCAAGAATATGACCATCAGGCATTAGCCATTTATGACGATTCAAAGGGTCCATGAAATATAAAGCGCCATATGTTTAAAATTATTTTGAAATTTGAAAAAAAGAAATTGACTGGAGCTGGGTTTGAACCTGTGATCTCCGGATTGCCATTCTGGTGCTCTACCAACCGAGCTATCCAGCCCTATGTTGGCGGTTCCTTTTTTGTCAATGTCTTTGGCACGATCCCTGGCTACATGGCATGTGCGGGTTTATGGCTTCTGACTAGCGCCCTTTGAACAAAGACATCAATGGGGAACCGCCAACATAGGGCTGGACAGCTCAGTTGGTAGAGCACTGGAGCGGCAATCTGGAGGTCGGAGGTTCAAACCCTACTCCAGTCCATTTCTTTGTTCAACGTTAACAGCATTTATAATGCATCCAGCCACTTTCCCTATTGTGCTTTTTTTTTTTTTTTTTTTAAATGTTAAAAAGGGTACTCGACACAAGAAGTAAACCCACTTACAAATTTGTCTTTTCTTGTTTGCAAGAATCCCCCTCTTGGGCGAAGGTCACACTCTTCCTTCTTCCCTCAGTAGGTGACTGGCTGTCATTGGACAAACTGCTGGCACCACTGGAGGGGATGGAGCCATTTGCATAGCCGTTAACTAGACGTGTCTGTTGGCCATTCTGGGACAGCGGTTGTGTTGGAAACTGCTGCCGTTGCTGCTGCTGCTGCTGTGAATGTGGCAGCCGTTCTAGATGGTTGTGATTGCTGCTTTGCAGCTGCTGTATTCTGTTGAGTATCTGTTTCTGCCGTGGGTGGTGCTGGTGCAAATTTTGGTGCTGCTCCTGCTGCTTGTGTTTCGGTTGTTGATCTGGTAGCGTAGGATTTGCTTGCTGCTGTTGTTGCTGCTTTTTCTGCACGCCTTGCCACAGATGCTGTTGCTGCCCCTGCTGCTGGGCTGTTACTTGTCTATAGTTTGCTTCAGTTCTACTCTGATTAGTAGGAGTCTTGTGCGTGTCATCTATGCCGGACTGATCCTCATTTGATGAGGACTCTGTTGAGTGGGACACGGCAGCTGTTGTTGAGGCGACTCCATTATGGTTTGCGTGACTTTGATGTCGATCACCATGTTCTGGAGATTGCTGTTTTTGAAAATGAAACAGAATTGGGAACTCTCAGAACAACCAAAGGAACAACAAGGAATGTTGGGGGGGGGGGGAATTCTGGTGGACCCCTAAGATTTGACTTATGTGGTTAGCATGACTTTACTCATAAGCAGGGGTTGTGGGTCCGAGTCCGAGCAAGCTGGTGAAAGTTTGTTTTCTTATACAAATTCTTGAAATGCTCTCAGCATACAGAGTTCTAGCACTTCATTTTTGAATTGCCATCTCAATGTACTTGCATGGCACACGTTAGAATGTTTGCTGTCAGAAGACTCGTCCATTACTACTGTACATGTATGTGGAGAAAATTCAATATCAATTCCTCATGAAATAGTGGTTTCTTTTTATATACATAACTATGTGCACATACCAGTTTTTGTTGTTGATACGGCACACGGTAAGGTAGTTCATCTTCAGGCATTTCATCGGTGTCATGGTAACCGAATCCATGGAGTGTTCCCGGAATAGGTACATCACTACGGAAGAAAAACAAAAATTATATGAGGCATTTTCCGGAAATGGTACGATTCCCAACGCAGTGCCGACAAAGCGTTCGCCCCAGAGAGGGAACTTGTCAACTTCATTATCCATTCTTACAGATATTATCCTACAGTGAATCATCTGCCCGACACTATTAACATGCAGAAGCACACAAACACATACGCATCAGGATAATAGAAAAAAAAAGTCCTGTTATTCACAGAAAAATTAAAATGACATCCTGTGCATCAAAATAAATAAATAAATAAACAAAATATATAAAAACATTAAAAATAAAAGTGCTTAGTCGTTCTTCCCTCTTGCCTAGCGTGAAATAAATGCTGTTTGAGAATATATCTATAAAGGGATGTCAACTTTTCCCATGATGCACTGCAACAAATGGCCTCTCCCTGATAACCAACCTCATTCCCATGGGTACAATGTTGCTGCGTCATACTGGTTCCCATCATGCCTTGTGCGATCTTAACCCCTGCAATTGTGTAGTTTAAATATCTCACTATTTGGGAGAAGTAAATCAGGACTGCAATCGATGTGTTTAATGCCCGATGCAGTGCTTTCAATTTTGATTGTTTTTTTTAAAGAATCAATCCTTTCAAAGATGAGATTTTGACGTCATGTTAGGCCACATAAAAAAAAAACATGTTTAGCGTCCTGCCTTTTAAAAAAAAGGACGCGAAAGGCCTTTTTCCCCCCTCCAAAATGGCCGCCTGACCGGGCTATTTTTCATGATGGCCCCAGCTTTTTTTTAAATGGCCGCCATTTGACTCAGGAAATGACACACCAGCTTTATATGGGCTAGATGAAACAGACAAAGAGGCCAAAATGATGTTTCTGTTGAAAGTTTAACATGTTTCATTTTTTATTTGGCCTTATAGAGCAAGGATTTGTATTAACTGTGCGTACCTCTGTCGTCCCTTTTACAATACAAGATACAGTTGTTTGATGTAAAGCAAGGCTTCTAGACTCCATATCGTACAAGCATCACGCAGTCTTGAAATGGTCATATGTGACGTAACGTGCAGGAGATAACACGCAAGTGTACATAGGGCATGAACCTTCAAAATACGAAGGAATGAATGCGCACTCAGCCCATAGAGTCAACCTGGTAACCTCTTGGTAGTGTTTCTATTGTAAAATTCTCCTACTGTAGAATTCCTACCTTTCATCCTCATCCTGACAAGACGATTCACTGATAGGGGGTGGTTGGTTCACTTCCTTGGCTATTCGGTTGTAGTAATCGCTGTCGCTGGACGGGCCTGCCTCCTTCAACTCACTGAAGCAACGAAGCAATAACATGAAAGGACAACGGATATCAGGCCTGTGTTACTTCTGTTACCTGGCAACTATGTGGCCAAGTCAGTCACAAGCCATATCACAAGTTCCGTCACAAGTCACAGGGCACGAACATAAAACCGGACAACTTGACTTCTGATTATGACTGGATGACAAAAAACACCTGGTTCAATAGCTCTGTCAGTTCTGCATTTTTTGCAATAAGTTGGGCTCCATACCCTGAATAGTTTGAGCACATATCCAAAAGGTGTGGATATTGTGGCTTTTTTATCTGAAGACATAATAAAAACTGTACACAATGTAACCTTGATATCCCAAAAATGGGCCTTACAGATTTTTTTTTCACAGATAAAGAAAGGATGGTATCTGCATGCAGTGGTGCTGATGACAAGAACCTTTAACAGTGACCATGTCATTTATCCAGTGCATGAAAAAAGAAAGAAAACTAAAACCTGAACAATAAATTCACAAACAATTTGTTTTTATATATCTACTTCACTTCCACCTACTCCGATAAGGCCCACCTCATATCAACTATTCCTCAGACAACAGCCTGTTGAGTGCAACAGAATTTGGACATTTCACAACGCAATGCGCCACCAAGAGTTTGCCACAGAGAGTCAATTTTTCAAGTTTACGGTCGACAAAACAAGGCCCATTTGAACGAGTATCAGTAGACAACTTGAGCTAATTTGTTAAGAATTGGGGCAAAGCGTTCTGCCGCCTTACAAAAAACACCACATTGATGAAAAGAAAAGAAAAGGGAAAACAGATACTCGAATCATACACTTACGAAACTACTGACCAGACAAACTGACAATTTCAAATAGCCTGCGCTGCGAATTTGTCCACCATCTCCCACAATGCACTGGGAAAAAATGAACTCTCCGTGGCACACTCTTGGTGGTGCACTGCATTGTGAAACCCCCAAATTCACCAGCTAGAAGAAACATGTTAGATCCACATAGATATCCAACTGACAATGCCCACTGTGCGATTTTGGACGCATGGGTGCTTTTGAGGAATCCTTGGCTTCAATACCGGAAAATAAATACTAAAAGGCCCCAATTCTCCACTGATTCTCTCACCCAGTCTGTGGTCCGCTCCGTCTGTAGACCTTATCCGATGTGCCGCCGTCTCCAAAGCTGTCGTAGTACGACACGTCCTCTGGTGAGAAGGGCGTCTTGACCTCGCGTGACCTCTGCAGGTGTTTCAGCCGGCGTTCGGACAGCGCCGTCTTGCCGCTGTGGAGGACTTTCTGGATCTGGATGGCGCCGGTGGACACTGGGTTGTTGGTCCTCTCGGCTGATTGGTGGAACTCAGTCCCATAGTGGTCCACCTAGGGTGTATAATAAAAACAGATTGTGGGCAGTTTCTTAATTCTGGCATCATTCTGAAATAATATAAATTCTGAAGTGAAATCAAATTAAGGTGTTTAAATGTGATGTTTTATGGGAAAAGGGTTGAACATAAGTTACATTGGTGGTATTCTGTTGTTTGTTTCATTGTGATAGAACACTCCATAGTGAAGTTATTATGAGTTTGAAACATATGAAGTTAGGGTAATGTAATAATCAGAAAAATAGTGAAATAGTGAAATAGTTCAGTGCCGTAAATCTGTGCCGGGGTGGGGGCGGGGGGTTGGCTTGCTGGTCACCACATGACACTAGGGGGCGCTGTTCATGATACAGATGTACATCTTATGTATACTTACGCCCCTTAACGTTACATTAAAAAGGCGCATTTAAAGCTTTTGTACTTTTTCTCCCTCTTTCAGCACTACTGAATACATTTTGGTTGTTGGGAAGTTCTAAAAATACCTAAAAATCTGCCTTTTTGTTTTTCACCAGGAAAAGTGAGGGGGGGGGGGGGGAGGAAATTATCCAATAGTTAAGTTTCTGTTTCCGTTTTCCCTATTCAAGCCCATACCTAGTTATGTCAGAGATTTCGGGATAACACATCGCAAAATGTCCATTTTTAAATTTCTCTTCTTTTTAATTTTATTCTGTTCACTCATCCCAGTAACTTGTGACGTGATGAATTCAATTGTAATGACGTGACTAATGAGTGACTACAATATAACTCTTTTTTTGTACAATTTTGGAATGTGGGAGCTAAGTCCCTTTCCTTCATCCTAGTCTGAAAATTTACCATTTCAAACAAAAAGGCACTTTCTTTTTTATTAAACTCAAAATTTTTACTTTCAGACAAAGCGGGCGGGGATCAAAATGGTGTTTTTCCCCCATCATTTTTTTTAAATGTCACATGCCTACTATGCCCCTCCAGTTTTAGAAATCCGCTACCAATTTATTTTCAATCCTAAAATTTTTCAGAATTAAAGAAATCACCTGCAAGAAAAAGTAAATCATCCAGGTTTCCTGCTGTGAGGTGAAGGCTTGCAGCTGTCGATAGAGAGAGCGTTTCTTCCACATTCTCAGCCATCGTTGGAGCAGCAGGGCGGCGTTCCACTGTCGCTGCTCCACGGCCCGTCGGACCTGGCGTCTAGCCAGGAAACCTCTGGCAACTACAAGAGGAACAACGGATTGGTCAGGGGAGAAACTTCATATCCAGGGCAAAAAAGGACAAGTTAGATTGACAGAGTGTACCAAATATAAAGATTATCTCAAAATAATGGATTGGCAAGTTAAAATTATGAACTCGAACACTGTCAGTTGTGTCTTAAAGGTAATACATGTATACAACATTTGCTCTTGCTGTATTTTTTTTCAGAAATAGATGGATTTGGGAATGAGTATTTTATAGCAAATATTGTTACACTGACCTGTTCAAAGTTTTGTGTTCATAGATGCTGGAAAAACCGAGAAAAAAATGCTGTTTTTGTAATCTGGTTCCCTGACTCTACTTGAGATGAAACGGAGCAATATATAGACCTCGGGGAATTGTCAGGTCAGGGAACCAGACTAGCTAGCTTGTACCCGTTCAGTGATGTGTAACCGATTGCAAACAAAATGTGGACTAAACTAAATTTGGTGAATTGGGGCAGTATTTGGAAAAAAAGTCAGTTTTTTTTTATTTTTTTCATTGATGGTCTGCTGACCATTATTGGAAATGGATACCAAAAAATCCCCTTTTCTTGAAAATGACAGCACACCAGGTGCCATGATTTCACAGGATTCTTGAGACTGTCATTCACTTACAGTCAACTTAGATTTTTCATAATAATTTGGTAGTGTTGTTTTTTTATGTTTAAGGGTGGTTCATTAGCTTTCCATTGATGACGGCCGATGATTGCTTGTACCCCTGCACTATGAGCACCTGATTTCAACACATTTGGTAATTAACCAGCTTTGGCCAAGTTGGGCTGATCCTGAGTAGTGAGATCATGCTGGCTATACAATGCACTGTCACTAACCAACTTCACAAAAGAAATGTTTGAACCTATGTTTTGAAATCAATGATGCTCAGTCATCCGTGACTTGCAGGGGGTGACATATGAGGTATCAATGGAAAGCTGATAAACCACACTTTAAAATGCAACCAAACTGACACAGTGTTCAAATTCATAGTGTGTAAAGACTAATCCATTGATTTTGGATCCGAGATGTATTTTTTTCAATCAAATGTTTCTGATGGTGGAGCTCCCTGCTATGTCAGATTCAAACCGGCCATCTGACCTTGGCAGGCTTAGTGGTCAAGACGTTGAGGCATCTGCACTAGTAGGGAGGAGGTCACGGTATCAAGTCCCACCAAGGCAAAAAAAAAATAATTCTGACAAACTCTTGGACAATCCTAAGTAAACAGTTCTAATGAAATGACGTTGTAATAAAAAAAATTAAATACCAAGATTTACATGCATAAACACACATCAAAAGTTCAGAAAGAAAACACATTCTGTGGAAGAATAATTCGAGAGGGAAAGACATGTCTGAATATTGGTGTGCTTGGCCTTTGCAACTATGTGCAGTGAAAACAAACACAGGTGATGATGTTGGTCATGCAATAAAAACAAATCACAAAAGTGAAAAATAAGGGAGGACAGCTAAGCTGGTATAGCACTGCTATTGTCATCCATAGGTCTAGGGTTCGAATCCTGCAGTTGTCAAAAGTTTCATTTGCTATCAAGAGATGAGAAGAAGAGTTATTTCCTTACAAAGAAAATGTACCAATGTAGATATTAGAATGCTCATAATATTTTTTTCTTTACAAACGCCCAAACACAAAATTAGCAAAATCAAAATTATGCTAAAGAAATCCATGTGCCCAATGATTAAAGGGAATGTACATCATTGGCTTTTGCTGTAGTTTTCAGAAATGAACTATTTGAGGGGTAAGTATAATAGATCAAATATTGTTCAACTGACATTTTTGAAGTTTTGTGTTCGAAAATGCTGGAAAAACCAAGAAAAACAAAAATGCTCAAGTAGTCTGGTTACCTGACTCCAGTAAAGATAAAATGGATCAATTTATAGATGCCGGAAAATTGTAAGGTAAGGGAACCAGTCTAGCTGGCCTGCACCCGTTCATGAATGTGTAACCAATAGCAAACAACTTTTGACTGAAAGAAATTGTAAATTTGGAGCAGTAGTTGAAAAATAGTTCGGTTTTTCCAACGGTGGTCGGCCGACCACCGTTGGAAATGTATACAAAAATACCATTTTCTTGAAAACGACTTCACACCAGGTGCCATAATTTTACAGGATGCTTTAGACTGTCATTTACCAACATCCTAGTAAGGTATTTCGTAAAAACTTGGTAGTTTTGTTTTTCGATGTTTGCAAATGTTGTATATTCCCTTTAATTGTACGGCTCTTTGTAAATTGGCCTCCAAGGAAGTGATGCCTGAACAACATCTTGGAAACCTGGAAAAAAAAAAAATCTGAAGTGCAGTTATGAACACTGCACGGCCATTAACCAAACACATCATTTCCTAGAGATTAGCAACGGCCAGACAAAGCAGAGTGTAACATTGGTGTGAATTATTTGGCTGCCACGATGAAAGACATCTAATGAAGTGCCGTTAACGCTCGAGTTCCCTCGGCATTCTTTGGGTAAATCTAGCGTGGCGGATACTTAAAGGCAAAGGGGAGGTATTTAATGCGCTTCCTGTTAATAAAATATCAATTTGGCTTGGAGAGTCGCGTGTTACGTCCCCGGTCGCTCTAGCCCTTTAAAAAAAAAAAAAAAAATCAATTCATGTACATGCCTGTTTAATGATGATACTACGCCTTTGAAATTATCCGAGTGTCAGGAAGATTAGAAAACCGATAATTAAACGGGCCCAGTGGACGTTAAATGTTGGAGCCAGACGACAATCGTTCCTATCAATGGATCTGGGAATATTGCCATTATGGTTGCAAACAAAGACCTTGTCGGTGTGCATTGCAAAAAGATTTGATTATCCCGTGTATTACTAAATATTTTCTCTCTTTTTTTTTTTTTTTTTTTTTTTTTTTAGTGAGAAGCCGAAAATTGCCTTTCATAATGTTGGAGGAAGGCTTAGCTCGGCAATTACAGGGAATCGGTTATGGCTGTTTTCATGGCTTTGTGGTTTTAAATTGAGTGGCAATTTATGGCCAATTGTTCACGCATCACTTCCTCCTAAATGAAAGCCTGTCGGAGCGCATCACACATGGGGGGGAGGGCAATCTAATGCCTGAAAGGTTTCAACAGCAGAGCGCTGACTATTGTGTGCCATGAAAAGTTATCTGGCCTCTTTAAGGATTTAAAAGTGTCTTTTTTGGGGTTGGAATATTGCAAGCGTAACAACCCCTTATTAAGGCCAAAGATTGTCAGCGGGCATCAAAGGGATTTACCGCGTTTTAAAAGGTGCCGCATTAGGCTTCAGATGCAAATGGTCAAGGTTGTTTCCTTTCCAAAAGGGGAACAATTCGAGTTTGTGTTTTGATTGAAAAATTTGGCGCGCTCACAAACGGAAAGTGCAACCTTGGGTGTGAGATTAGGGAAAGCAATTGTGATAAAAAAATACCCCCCCCCCCCAAAAAAAAGAGGTCATTTGGAGGACGCAATTTAGAATGGAGAACCTGATCCCCCATCCGGAGAGAGTCTGTCCATACGTTCCTACCACATAATGGGTCGGAATCAACTTCCTGTCTTTATTTTTCAGATGAATAATTTCAAAGAGAGAGTTTCAAATTTTGAGAGTTGTAAAGGAAACAGTAGTAAAGTCCAACTTGAGAAATATATAGGAACAAGAATACCCTCCTTCCCCTAAAAGTATCGTCTTAGTATCACCCGTTGTCGAACGGAGCCGTTACCGACGTCATATATAGCAGCAATGCATTTTTTTTTTAGATTCAATGATGCCCGAACAATTTTTATGAAAAATATATACGCACTTTTGCAATGTTTAAGGTCACACTAATGGCTTCAAATGTTCTACTACATTGAGAGAAATACAAGTCAAAACAGAAAAACAATCAAACAACGAAAGTAAAAAAGTAATAAACGTAATGCCATAAACGGAAACCAGAAACAAATTTGTACAGAACAAAGTCACCATGCACCGTCTACGAATGTTCACCCACTGGGTACAAACCAATAAAGCACTAAGGCTCTAGTGAATTCACAATGACACCACTACACATCATGCTCATGCTTAGAACAAAATACAACCACTTTATTCTAACCTTTTAAGCCCCCAAAATTTTTATAAAACACACAACGCGCTTCACCAATGACACCAAACAATACGACCACCAAACATCTTGGCCAACCTGACTGGATGGCGATCGCGCTCTGCTCTTCTGACGGCGCCGAAGATGCCGTTTGCTCTGAATTGACATTCTCTACATCTGAGGCCAAGCCTTCCTCTTCAGAGACCTCCGTGGCTTCCTCTGGATGATTCCCTTGAGGCTCCACCGCATCTTTGCCGTTGCTAGAGTCCCTCTCTCCTTCCGTCCCCTCGCCCTCTGTCCCCTCGCCGGACGCTTTTAATTCCTCGGAAGTCTTCCCTCTTAAGCTCTTCTTGGCGACGGTCTGATAAATGGCTTCGGGATGCTCGCCCATTTCGCGGCTCGGGGATGGCGTTGGGCCGCCCTTGTCCGAGCCACCCTCGGGGCTGTCTGGGAGAATAGCCTCTTCCGCCGGGCCTCTTAAGGAGGTTGTATCAATCTCGGCATTCAAGGTCAGTTTGTCGCTTGAAGCCTCTTGCAGGCTCGGGTTAAGTGCATCTGTTTGTGGGCCGTGAATGGGTCATCAATTAAAGAAAGTAACTATATCGGAGCTAATGCTGCCGCACTGGCATGTACGCCGACACAAAGCAAACTCACAAAACTCTCAGCTTATCCGAAAAAGAAAGACCAGTGTTTACAATGTACATCTAGACTGGAAAAGTAAACTGGCCCGAACTAAATTGAAAACTCACTGTTTTATCCGTCAAAACTGTCAAGGTTTCTCCATATGTGTCATGTTTACAGATGTGTTAACTGCATGTGCATGTGCATCTGTTCATGTCAATGCTGACTTCAACAATACCAGCAAGTTTCCAGCAAATTTTAATAAATTTGCATATTTATGGTGTTATCGGACAGCTGGGGGTCAGCACTATCAGCAAAGGTTGACAAAATATGAGCTGCCCTTGCGAATATTCAGCTAAGATAATTACTATTTCCTTGGGGAAAAAAAATGCCATAAACCTTTTTGGAGTTGATGTTGTGTATTAAACTGTCAGGGTCAAGTTCCAGAATTCACGCACGCTTTCGTGCTAAGCTAAGATTTTTCATGGATTTCAGTGTTTTTATTTTACTGTTGGGAGAATACCCACAAGACTGTTTGTGTTATTAGTCTTTGCGATGATTATTGTAATCAAAGAAAATATGGTGTTACGTATTGGACATAAAGGGGACCTTTTTCAGGACTTACCATTAAAAAAATCTTTACAACAAATATAATCAGATTCAAAAACAAAAACAACCATAGTAGCAAAGTAGGCATGTACCACTTGGTGCTGAAACAAGTTACATTGAGGTGAATGCAAAACTTGGCTAAGTTTAACCACTTTGTACTTGGATTATTTTTGCCGAAAATGTTGATATTCGCAAAAGGCAAAATTTTTCAGCCAACTTCTGATATACAGCCAAACGGTTGTATGACATTTCTTGCCGAAGCCTCCACAGACTTCACGGACTTTGCGTGTGTGTGCAAAAGGCATGAGGGATAAGCGTGTTTAGACATCACCCAGAGGCGAGTCGAGGCAATTTTTATGTCTTAACCCGTCAGCCGTGCCTGTGTATAAAAACAGCCAGTGCGTGTTATCACAGCCTCTGGCGCGAACTGCTTAATATCAAGAACTTTCCCTTTATTCAAAAACTCAGCTCATTGAGTAGCTGCTCCTTATGTCAAATTTTAGGGGTTTTATTTCAGATTTTTTTTTTTTGTATTTGAATTTTCTACCAGTCACATTGTGAATTTATAATGATCAGGGTTCGACCTTAACCCTTTTTTTTTTCACTAACCAGCCGGGCTACTGAAACGGAGTCTTATCTAGCCCACGGGAATTTTCACTAGCCCGCATGTTTTTCTTTTATAGGATGTCTCATAAACAACAATGTGCAATATAGGATATTCGGTACATGTAAAACGTATATCCTAAGGCAATCTTATCAGTGTTTCTAACAAACAGATCTAATTTAACCCTAAACAGTTGATAAAATTACACACAAACTGATACGGGTTTGCTTTCTGAATTTCATAAGATATTTTTTTCTTGTCCTTTCATCTTTGCCATAGCCCAATTGTGACTCGCCAACCGGGCTAATAAAGGAATAGTTTGCCTAGCCCGCCGCTCTTTTGACTAGCATTTAGCTAGCGGGCTACAGCTAAAGTCGAACCCTGATAAGTCCATTTGACCAAATTTGTAATCCTTTTCCAAGAAACGCCACTCCTTCAGAACATTCAAGAGAAATTCAACAAAAGCAAAATATTACACGTACATGGGCAGTCTCAATAAATGTACAATACAAATGTACATGTATGAAAGGCAAAGTGGGTAAAAAAGGAGTGTTTGTAAAAAAAAAATCTGAATTAAATTAAGGATTATATATTCAATAAAAGGTATGCCTGAGTGGCTACGATTGTGTGCTGGGAACTGATGCGCGTAGGCTTTTAGCTTGTCTGCCGACGCTAGTATTAAAAAAAAAAAAAATCATGCTTTCTTTGCTAGTTTCCCATGCATATTTAATACAATCACGCTTTTTGCAAAGTGAGAACAAAATGGCCTTGGCAGTAATACATCCCATTTTATCAGTCCTGGATTTCATGGCCACAGCCCGACAGGAGAGGGCGCTGTTTCTAAACAACGTATAGGTTGCAGACCAGTAAATAAACTGCCATAGAGTACCGGAGTGTGCCCCGTATTGTGGTTCACCCGCATAGCTTTAGTGTGCGTGAAGACATCAGCGTCTGAACCAGCACGTGAATCTTACGTCAGACTTTGGTACTCTATAGACCCCAGTGATAAAAACCCACTTCCTAAAATCAGGAAAAATACTCACAACTCTCCAAGGTGTAAGGTGTTTGACACACACATCAAATTATAGCTTATTTTGTCATATTTCATTTTTTCTTCAAGTTTTTTGGGGGTGGGGGTGGGTTAACCAAGACTTTTGGAAGAAAATTCTGTCCAAAGATGATCACCCCTTAATAGTAGTTCTGAAGAAAATTGCCATGTTGAAAAATGATGCCTAAACTCTGTTGTAAAATAGAGTAATTTTAGGGCCCAATTTCATCAAATTTCACAGAAATACGAGCTCGCAGTCCTGTTCACAGCTTCTACCCTTCTGTTTGTAAAACCCTAAAGTTCAGGGCCCACATAGCAGAGCATAGCATAAAGCATCTAATAGCAGAGAATTTGAGGGCATGCATATCATGATTTGGCCGGCGCAGGCAATTTTGGGCCTATTGTACTGCCCTGCAACCATAAGGGCTGTAAAAATCTGATAAGCTCATTGACCATTGGGCACTGTACACACATTTAAGATAATGTTAACATTTAAGAATTTCTTTAAAGTCGATAAATTCTAAAAAAAAATATTATCTCCACTCACATACCAGCCTACAAGTTTGTCAAAAAATTATTTATTTGTATAATTATATAAATTATTTTTTGGGAGCATTTTAAAAGGGTTCACTGTGCCCTTCAAAATGAAATTTGAAAATCTTACCACAATAGAATTTCTCTGGAACTTTGTAGCGGGTGTACATAAACTCATGATTTATGAACCGAAATGTTTAGAGCTTGATGAAATTTTACATACTTAGTAAAATGTTTGCTCTAGCAAGGCACTGGAGGCAAAGTGCACCACGTTAGGGCCTGCGCTATGTTAGGGTACATCAACAATATATTAAGTAATTTTTATTTCAACAAAATTTAACGTAAAAAATATGTAAGTCACAGCTTAATTTTTACTATTTAAGAAAAGTACACTTCTTATAAAAAAGGTAAATATTGCAGTTAAATAAGGATAGATTTGTTTAAAATTCCATTGTTATGAGAGTGGTCATATGGCAGACAGTGACTTCACTTCTAACAGCCAATGGGCAGTCCTGATATTTATTATAGAGAACAGTGACTGGTGTTGATCTGACACCTGGGCACAACATGGCTTTGATTGGCAAGGACCCTATACATGTGGACACAATACTATTGTATCCGGCACCAGTTTCTATAGAATCCATGTTGTGCCCAGAAATTAATACAAAACTTTTCAACAATATATTTTTTTTTAAATATCAGACAGTGTTCTACAACATTTGCAAATTGATATTTGGGTTGGCTCAAAGAAAAACCAATACAAAATCTTGACAAAATGTGCAGGAAATTAAATCAGGGAAAAAAGGTTTTTCTGACAAAATAATTTCAGGCAGATTATCTCATACAGCATTAGGAAACATAAAGAGAAACAAATCAGTCTGGCTTAATCAGCTGCCATTTAGGTAATATTTACAAACAGTAAAGCTGAGTTTATTATTAATAGTCTAGACTTCAATCTTTTCTTACCATCCCATATCGAACCCCCCCCCCCCCCCCCCCCCGAAAAAGAAAAAAAAAAGTCCTTTTCTGCATCACATGGTGAAAAATATAAACAGCACACAAAATAAACTGGAAGTTACCATTCCATGTTTGTGAAAAAAAAATCTGATGCTAGTCCAAACGTTTCCCTTCAGTTAATTGTAACTCTTGCGGCTCTCAAAGTAGTTTACACGTGATCCCATTGCTGTAAAAGTGCCCTAACTGCTTAATAACTTCAATGGCAAATAAAGGGTTTTTGTTTTGTATTTTGGCCTGACAGTGCTCGCAAGCTTCTCAACTCACCTGCTTGTAGACCCACCACCATCTTAGTCAACCTCTGCTCTTCCTTCAGCCTAGTCCTTGTCTGAAAGCCTCGGTAGCAGGCTTGGAGTTTGACGGCCGACTGTTGCTGTCTTTCCGCTAGCTCCTCTAGTTCTTTTTTCTTTTGTAAGTGCCTCCGCAAATTTTTCTGAATGGCGACGGCTGCAGCCAACCTCTTCAATTTGACCCTTTCATATTTCTGCCTGGTCACCCAGCCTCGAATCCCTACATAAAAAGTTGTGAAAAAAAAAACCACACACAACTGTAAGCAATTGACCTATCGCCGTTTGCGAGTTAGCCACGCCCCCTAAGCAACACTATGGAATTTTTGTACACTAAGTTTTGTTTGTCTCAGATTTTGCGTGTTCCGTGTCCATTTGTTTATCATGTAATCGGACAAAACTTCACAAGCTGCGTTGACGCGATTCTAACGTGATTTTACCGCGATAGGTCAATTCAGCATTGATTGAATTCCCATCATATGAATGATGCAGTATACACTGCTTTCATTAGATTCAAACAAGCCTGCCGACCCTGGTGATATCCGTGGTAAGATCCTTCTGTACTAGTAAAGCAGGAGGTCATGAGTTCGAGTCCCACCTGAGTAACGATTGATTAGTGAAGTGGCTTGAGATTGATTTCTAATCTGACATGATTGATTTGTGATTTGACTCATGCTTCATTTGTGATCTCACTTTTATTGATTTGTGGTCCAAGTTGCGATTGAATTGTGGTTATCTTGACTACAACTCTTGTTGTGAACCAAGTCACAACCAATCCCCCTACCCACCACCAAACAATGGTTGCAAGTTCCAATGACACTCACATTTCTGCACAACGATGGCGCTTGACTGCCTCTTGCCCAGTAGTTTCTTGTAGCGTACCCTGGCCAGCCAGCCCTTGACGTAAGCTTGGACCCGATTGGCCAGCTTGTGATGCTTCTCCAACTGACAATCCAAGTCTTCTATGTGGTGATACTTCAGAAACACCTGGTAAAATCAATTGTTTTTTTTTTACAACTTTGAAAAATCTCTGCTAGGATCAACATGTTGGGCACATTAACTATTACGATTTGTACACTTCAGGTCATATGAATTAGTATGCAGTTTGCAGCAGCTTTTAATATGTAACTTTTTTCGTAAGATTTCATTTCCATTTATCCTTAGGCAGTGTTGTAGTTGAGTCACTCGAGTTGAGTCCGAGTCAGAGTCTTCAGTCACTTGGGTCTAGTCCGAGTCTAAGTCTCGAGTCACATGGTTCAAGTCCGAGTCCAAGTTACGAGTCACTTAATTCAAGTGCCAGTTCGAGTCACTTTGTATGCAACGGATATACTGTCGCTGAAAATAGAGAGTGGCACATTTAATAACCAACTGGAGCATGTACTGTATGGTTTGTACGTTTAAAGTAATAACGTTGCTTTAACGTTACTTTTAGAAAATAAACATTGGAATTATGTATTTCAAAAGGTAACTATTTAGTAAACAACAATATGTGACTCGCGAGTCAGAGTCATGATGGTTGAGTCAGAGTCTTTTACTGATGTGACTCAAGTCAAGTCCTGAGACGACCCTAATCCATGAACAACATCCGCAGGTGTCCTGAGCCAAGCTCTATCACTTTTCTCACTTGGGTTCCAAATTCAGAGCACCACTGTGAAACTGGAGAGAGACCGAGTAACATGAAGATGTTTGTTTTGGTCAGTACATCCATTTTTAAACTGTTTGTAATTTTTTTATATTTTGTTATTGAGAGATTCCTACCTTGGTGTTTCCCAAGACCCAGTCCGTCAGGCCGCAAGCCTTCAGTATGACCTCACAGTTCTCCGCCGTCCTCTCCACCTGATTGGTCAACTCAAACGCCAGCTGCTTGTACCTGGCCACGAACTCCTGGAAGAGTATCCGGTGGGAGAAGCCCTGCCGTCGGATGCGGGTGGTCTCCAGGACGCCGGTGTAGCGCAGCTGCGTCAGGACCTTCTCCTCGTCAAACTGGCCCGGTACCCGGTCGTTGTTGGGCTTGATGCAGCGGACAAAGTGGGGCTGGCTGGTGACCATCTTGAACAGGAGCTCTCTCAGGGAATACTGCACAACAACATTGAACATGACAACATGCAACGACTTTTAATGTTGGGCTTTTCCCTTTTTATCGATGTAGGTTTTTTTTTCTTTCATTTCAAATGTTCATTCGAGCTCTCACACAGCCATTCTCCATGCAGTGCTCACATTCAAATAACACCAGTGACAGAAAAATTCCAATATTAAAACTTTTACCCTCGTGAAACAAATATTCAATCGACAAGGCAAAAATGCACAAATGAAATAAACACAAGCATTTTTTTTTTTTAAGTTGACGTTCCCCACGCTATTTTCGCATTTCGTTAAAAAACAAGGTTCTTTTTCTGAACTGCTGTTTTTCTAGCAATACAAAAGCTATTTACTTTGGAATAGTTTGGCCCATGTTTAGTTACTGAAATTATTGCTTTACAATTTTGAATTATTAGCTGCCAGACAATAATTCCATTTGCTAGTTCCGGCCCCACAATCAACAAAGATGATGTGTTTGTTGCTAAAACAAAAACCTTTTGCCAGAAGTTTGTAGACGTCAGAAAAGGGGAAAAAGATGAGGGTGTTTGTGATTAGTAAAAAATAAAAAACCTCAAATTAGTTGAAGAGCATGGAGAATGTACTCCAACTTCAAACCATGGTTTGCTTCAACAACTACATACTTCCCACACCAAGTGGTCTCTAACTAAGATTACTTGGACAAGAGTCAATGAGTTCTGATCAAGCAATAAATGAATAAATTAATGAGCATCAAAAAAAGACGGATTGTCCATAGACAACAAGTTTAAGAAGCCGCAACAAGTTTAAGAATTCAAAGCTCTCCTGGTATGAATGTACTTACTCTGAAATACGACGCCACTGTCTGCCTATTCTTGGCCATATTCCCACTTGTGGCCTAGACAAAAAAAATCATAAAACTTTAAATTTAGTACTAAACATTGTTTTTACAGAGACTGCCCCAAATTGCCAAAAGGAATGGATCTTGAACCAGTTTACAACTTATGTGAACGGAGTTTCCACGTAGCAACCACATTAGAAGTTCAATAGAGCGTGTAAGTTTACCACAAAAACCTGCCAGATTTTATAAGAATACAGCACATCCCAGGACCATGTATTGGATCTACAACGTGTGTAAAGTCCTATTTTTTGCTTTTTTTTTTTGTCCTGATGACTGGGCCCATCCAATCAAGGGCAACATATGGGTATTTCGGGAAAAAAGAAAGCAGTACAATTTTCAACATTTTGAAAATATTGTGAATTGACGACTAATATAAAAATAAAAGTAAAAAACCTCAACTTCCGTTTTATCAATTACGCAGACAACAAGTGGGTAAATTCAAACAGGGGAGTCTGTGACTAGACTAGTCAGTGTTTGGTACCAAAGATGTTCACATGAAAAGTGAATGTGAACTGGCAAGACTTACACGCTCTATTGTGAGTATCCACATTTGCACTGTGCCACAGTGAGAGACAATTAATATGCAATAACCACTCTTTTTTTTTGTTAAAGGAAAAAAACAATACAATACAGACAACAACCATTTTTTTGTTAAAGGAAAAAACAAGTGAAACCTTTTGTTCGCACTCATTAAAAACAAATGTGCTTATTGGCCGTGTGTGTTTTTTTTTCTGATGAAGCTCAATGAATTAAACAAACTCAACAAAAATTCATCAAAATCAAAAGTGCAATGGAAACAGTTGCTTCACAAATTAGAACACAATTTAAAGCGTATGCTTCACTAGAAGCATCCCCAAGATAAAGCCCTCCAATTTATAAAAAGAACAACACAAGAAACTATAAAACGCATACTGTTTCAATGTACAAATGTTGGAGAAATACTATACAATTTAGAAATAGCATTGCTCGCAGAATTTGTTAGTAAATAGAATTGCAACTTATTTTAGAATAAGTTATTAGGGGATCCATCCATCCAGTGAGGAATAGCGGCATATGAATATTAAAAGACGAAGACATAGGCTGCATTGAAGTATTTGGCTACTACTTGCAACTATACACACGTCTATGGTAGCAGCTGAAGCCATTCCTCATAGACTTGTGTGCTAATGCCAGTCGTAGCAACCTAAATCAGACACAGCTACAGACATAAAAACAAAACACTCACTTAGGGCGGCCTCAGGTCGACCTGCGATTTGCTGACACCAAGATGGAAACATTGGCATCAAGCCAAAAAGAAATGCTCAGATCACAAAACTGAGAAATCATGTGATTATCATGGAACAAGTGGCATCTCGAAACAAAATTATCGCAACCATGCTCACGCCACCCACGACGCGACAATGATTCCTCTGCATAGACTTGATCATTTGACGTCTTTAAAATCGCGGTGCGCAAGTTGATAACAATCAAATGATTTTCCGCAACCACGTCTGTTCATTTGAGCATTTTTACCGCGCGCTGATTGGCTTAAACAAGGAAAATAATGATCCAGATGAGTACATGACATCGTAATTTCACACAGGTCAACTGTGATTCCCGCCTGTCGAGAACACGTTTCGTCGCAGTGCAGAAGTTGAAATTTTTCTACTCTTGCGACAGTTGAATGCCGATAGTCTTAATATTGTCGCAGTTACACTCAGCTGGCAAAAATATTGGCGACTGATATGTTCCCAACGGTCGTAACTCAGACACAGCGCGATCCTGAGAGGTCCGTCATCACCGACTGTTCTGTGTCATCTCAGGATCGACCTGAGGGCAGCCATACAGAGAGGCATTGAAAGGATGAAACAACAGACTGAGGGACAAACAGAATGAACAAAACAAAAGACAATAATGGTTACAGTTGAGACAGTGCAAGGTGCGTACCGTGCTCAAGCTATAAGAATTCTGCACAGTTGCTATTACCTTGGGCGTAGAATCATCAATTTGCTACAGCAGAGAAAACAAAAAATGATCAAAACTAGTCACGCAGAAATGAAGCACAGCAAGGAATGATTAACATTAGACAAGTATTAAGAACTTTCACTCACTATGGTATGCCAGCTACAAAGTCAAATTAAACCATGGCATAAAAATCAGTTTACACAGCTGTGACAGCACACGTCTTCTAGTTTAGGTAATAGACAATTAGAGATCAATTTAGAGCAAGTTCGGGGAAGGGCCATTAGTCGACTAGTGGTTGATTTGTGACAAAACGTACATTTCCGCACTAATAGCAACGTGCAAACGCCTGTAGTCAAACGACCGTCAAAACGTCATCACAAAACTCCTTGGTCCTGGCTCCCTGTTGTGGGTTATGACGCATGCGGCTATTGGTAACCAACGAAGCAACCAGGCTCTGGTTCCAAATAGTCAACTAGCATAGTCCAACCATTCTTCGTTCGAGTGGAGTTAGTCGAACCATGGTTAACTATGGTACAGTCCTTGCTCGAACTTGCTCTTAGCTGAGTACAAGAGGCAAAGACTAAACAAGAATCTCAAAACGGATTGACATTGCAAAGCCAAAGGCGAGTATTTACAGCACCTTTTAGGTTGAGTGAGGATGGATGATGATTTTTCTTTTTTTGGATTCGTAATCAAGTCTTTATGAGTCAATCATCTCGATACGAATGGAGTGACAAACCATTCAAATGAACTCTGACAACTCATTCCTTTTGTCATGTTCATCGAGTGCCGTGGCCTCGTGGTCTGGAACATTGAATTCAAGGTCCTTGGGTAATTCTGCAGGTTGTGGGTTCGAGTCCAGCCTGGGTTGTGGTGCGTGTGCCCTTGGGCAAAGCACTTTGTCACTCATTGCTTCTCTCCACCCAGGAGTAAATGGGTACCTGTGAGGGTAGAGATGGTTATTGTGGTTGATTTTAGCTGCTTGGCGCCGAAATGGCAGCATCGAGCTGTATACTCCCCAGGGAGCTGAGATGGTATTTGGAACATTTCAATGGCCCAATGAGCAGGGTACTAATGATGTAGAGATTTGAGCACCAACACTGGTGAATAAGTGTGCTTTATAAATATGCATTATTACTATGAATAGTGACTTGACATGTGGTTCGACTTGTGATTGACTTAAATCTCTATTGTAACTTCTTTTTTTTAATTTGGATTAAAACAAATGAACACCCACTTTTTGGCTACTTGGTTATGAATTTGTAAACATTCTACGAAAAAATAAGATAATTACAAAAAAATGTTTCACAAAAATGACCAAGATCACTACTGTGTTTCACACTGAGAAGCTGAACTGAGAAATAAGGGTAGAGTCAAGAATTGTGCTATATAAGTTAAATTCGACACAGTACATGGATGTTTCAATTAATAGAAAATTCGGGAAAAAGGGCATGGGTATTTGGCAAACAAAATAGGCTCGCAGGGGAAACTTGAATGGACATTTCAATCATGTTTTCTCTGCTTTTGGAATGACAGGTCACACTGTGCACAAATTATGAAAGGAAAGCATTAATAAAAAAACTACAAAAGCAGTTAACAATGACATGGCAGGAGTATTAGCTGAGAGTATTAAGGTCAGAAACACGGCAAAAAGCAATGGGGAAGAAAGCTTTGTAGTGAAATTAGTGTCCTTTTTTTTGGGATCCTACCTCCATGACAGGACCTGCAAATGTTATATCCTACAGAAGGGAGAAATTGTGAACATTTTTCAAATTACTTTAAAAAAATGAATTTTTTTTAAAATTCTATCTCTTTCTTCTTCTTTTTTTGATAGTTTACAGAACTCACCGAAAAAAAAGAAGAAAATCAAGAAATTTAAAAAGATATATTTTTTTTCCAGAAATGTTAATAAATGTTATTAATTCCATGAAATAAGCCAGAGTTTTATTGAAGTTGCCCTCCTTGTCCTTTTTTTTCTTCAAGTTTGAAGTTGCCCTCCTTGTCCTTTTTTTTCTTCAAGTTTTACCCCCATTTTTTTTTCAATTTCTATTTTTTTCTAGCGATAGAAAAGTTATTCACATCTGAATGAAACATAGGATGAAAAACAATTGCCCATGTGTTGTTATGGTGACTGGACAATTTTAAAATTATTTGCAACCATAATTCAGTTTGTGCATAAGAGGTGCAAAGGCAGCCCAACATCAAAGCCTTTTTCAGACTATTGTCCAAAATAGTAAAAATAACTTATCAAATAAAACATACAAATTGAAATAGTGGGGAGAAAAAAATTGAATTTATTGAAGACCATAAGGAGAGCAAACTTCATCAAATTTTGTTTGAAGAACCATTGTTAGTGATGCATTCATCTAGGAAAGCATTTGCATGTCCATGTACCACATTTGTTTACATCATCTGGTTGGTTACCATGGCAACCCGCATCCTCATCACTACGTCCCCTCTTACCTCCCTGATGATCTGTGCGTACGACTTGGCCCGAATCAGTTGCTTTTCCTTCATCTGGAGTGCCTTGCGTTGGACCGGGCCTAGCGTGGACGCCAGGTTTCCTGAAAAGTAGGAGCAACAATATACTGATGTACATCTGTGTGGTATATTGCGACAACTGTTGGGGGCGCTGTGCAAGAGGTGGTTTTGCAGATCAATTGTCTATATGCACGAACACGAGTTGGTGCTTTATTGTGATCACTTTAGAAAGCCCCAGTTGGAGGAACACACTGCATACATGTACTGGCTCGTGTGGATATGGCGCGAAGTCCACTTGACTCATTATATTCTAAAAAATGTACAACCCCGTAGCGTCTTCGCGTAAGCATCAGGCATCCTCACAAATTGTCGCGTCAGTGCAACACGGTCGTAACTGCATTCTGCAACAAAGTCGTGTCTCGCGTGAATACACTCCGTGCAACAAGGTCGTATCTTGGCGTCCATTGACTTTGTGTATACATCCGGGTTATTTTAAATGAGATACACAGACATTCTGAAACTCGCGTTTCACGTACGGCTCATTTTAGGAGATACAACCTTGTTGCACGGACATGATGAAATGCATTTGAATATTTCTCCCAGTGGTCTCCCCCAACTCTTCCTTTTCAACTGCTGACGGGGTACTTGTGCACGGAGTCCATATCATGAATAACTGTGCGCATAATTATGATCAAGCACTGGAAACTTTCCTGCCAAACAGCAAGCTCATCAGTGGTCAAGTGGTAAGATGTCTGCACTAGTAAGCAGGAGGTTGTGGGTTCAAGTCCTGCCCGAGTAAGCTTGTGAGTTTTTATTCTCGCAAAGTCACAGACAGCGCTGAGTATTGACCAATCCAGGGCGTGCTTTCAATTCAATCACGAAGGCCCCCTTCAATGGCGACAAAGCATTGTGCTAGCTATGGTCCAGATATTGTCACGGGACATATATGCTTTGTACAGTAGCGTGCACAATGGTTTCTCAATTGAACGGGGCCTAGTGTATGTATCATCCGTGTACCCGTCTTTGAGGTATCAAGGTTTGACCTTGTAGCGACACACACGCGCACAATCGTACCACACAACCAGTTGAATCATTGTGTGTGTGGTACGTGTTCCACAGCCGGCCCAAAAATGTGGAAACCAAGGCTATGGCGGGGTTTTTCTCTTGCTTGAAATAAATCCTATAAACCCTCAAAATCTGATTTGTCTACAGATTGACTATGACATTACATAGCTGAAGTGTAAAATCCAATATCCCCAACGCAACATTCCTTCATTCAAAATAGTGATTCACTAATTCAATACCTGTCTTGTTGAGTTGCTGCTCAAAGAGAAGTCTAGTCAGTGGCATCTTGGAGGAGCGTAGGAGGTAGACAATGTCCATGACCAGGGTGTCACGATTCTTGGCAAGGAAACCATCGGCACAGTACATCACCTGTAGACAAGACCAAAACAACGTGCTTGTTTCACAGAGGTTGTGCCCGTTCCCTTAACGAAACTGCTGGACAGGTTACTTTTGTGGCTCAGCTTTAGGATTTTCTCATGTGTTGTCACTAGTTACGGTTTGGGTGACTTTGTGTCTCGCGGTGCTTCATGTGGAGTCAATATAGGTTCACTAATTGCTCTATCCGTGCCCTTCAACTGACGTTTTTCTCCTTGCCTATTTTCAGTTTGTATATTTTATTTGCACAGAAAAGGCTAGGTTTTTTTATTTTGGACGCTTTCATCCCTCAAAAAAAAACACCAGCATTTATTTTAGGTTGTTTTTTTGTGGCCATAACACAAAAAAGATACGCCTGAATTATTGTCGGGCCACAAATAATACAAAGTTTGAACAGTAAATATTCCATACCAAAAATTGGATGAATTTTTGTATGCAATGTCATTCAAATGTTAAAAACATCTGAAAATCTGATGGTTGAATATCTGTTTCCTTGCCATAAGTTCATATCAGTCCCCAAACAGTGTCAGCAATTCACCTTGCCAGCATAGTGCTGGATACCGAAGTCCAAGCCCCCAGCATGAGGTGACCGCCAGTAGTAAGCTCCGTTGATGTTCTGGTTGAACTTTTCTACAAAAAAAAAAAAAACATAAGAAAAACCAACAGATAAATAATGTTGACTTCCTATTTGAAAGGCAATGACAGCAGTTATTTTTATTTTTAGGGGTGTGGGGAGTGGGGGGGGGGGTGAAATTGCCTGTTTAAAAATCCTACTTGATTGAGGTGATATTCCAATATTGTAATTTTGAATTTTGCACACTGAAACGATAGGATTTTACCCAAATTTTCTCATCATTTTTGTTTTGAATCCTCCACAATCTTCCACTTATCTTTTAAGGCTCCTCAGTCAAGCTGATTTTCACTAAGCGCCTAAACTTGCTAAGCGTTATTTTCTGCTTTAAGCAGCTACATGAAGCGTTATTTTCTGCTTTAAGCAGCTACATGAAGTTGGACTCTGTCCTCAAAACTCATTTGGGGTAAAACACTGAAGGGCTGTCGTTGCATACCCACCTACGAGAGTTTGGTCGGTAGCCTGGGGGAACCAGCTCTCCTCGTCCAGTAGATGCAGCATACCCAGAGGCCTTTGCAGGAAGAGGTCCAACAACGGCTGGTTGTCTTGGTAACTGATCAGCGCGACGTCTATCCCCTCCGTGCTATACTCCTCCTGGGGGGAGCACAAAGTCAAGATGTTTTACCCTCAAAGGTTTTTTAAAGCTAACACAGGGAACGTTTTCATGGATAAGAAATTTAAAGTGCAAGTAAGGGAATAAATGTGTCCTCTGTTGATTTTAAATAAGTCCGTTAAAGACCAGCTGGGGGAATGGATGCTGATAATAGTCTGAGCCGAAGGCGAGGCACGTTATTGGGGATCAGTCCCCCAGCCGGACTTATTTAATACCGGCCAAGCACAAATTTATTCCCATTCATAAATACCTTTTCGGTCAAATAGTCAAAACAAGTTTAAAAAAAATATAATGTTGTTCAACAATTTTACTTCATGTTTTTTTAAATACCCCTCTACTGGTATGTGCCTCTCGCCAGTAGTCATAAACAACTCCTTATATGGATATTGGTGCGCGCGTGGCGCCTACTGAGTGATGTGGCGCAGGGCGCAGCTGTGCCGATGTAGTGTGAATTTAGGACTCTATGAAATACTGACTCATTGGTAGTATTGCGCATGCCTAAGTGAGGATTGTTAACGTTCAACCAATAAAGGGTAAAAGGGACCAGATTTCATGGGAGTCCAAATTTCATGTGACACCAGAAAAGTGTTTAAGACCAGCCAGCCATGTCTTTATCAACCGTTTAAAACCCACCACATGACGGGCTCTCGACCAATAGGAATGGGCAAACTGTCTCAGGTATTTATGAATGAATATTAGAAATATGAATGAATTATTTTAATTACATGCAGGTTAAATGAGATGCATAAATGATGAAACTATTTCTCTATGATTCAAGTAATGATTAGTTGTCACAGAATAGTTACGAATTTGACAACTGTTAAATCACCAATATAGATATTGCTAATCAATTTCAGTTTGTGGTTTTCAATTATCAGAATTTCAATTATTAGTGGTTGTCGAATCACCTGTCATCATTCAAATATAAACTCTCACATTTCTCGGCTTTTAGTATCAGGAAATTTGGATAATCAATAACAGATTATTGATTGCCAATTCATTAATCAATCAACCAATCACCTGCTCCATTGCGAATATGTGCTGGTTGAAATAGAACTGGATCTGCTCATTGGCGATGTTAATGCAAAGTTGCTCAAAGGAATTGGCCGTAAAGTTCTCAAAGCCGAAGATGTCCAGAATGGATATGGCTCGCTGGCCGTTCTCCCTGGGTTGGGGTAGTGTTAAAATGAAACAAATAGAACATGCCATGCAAACCACATGTACCAAGTCTTAGTCAGTTAGTGTTAAATATGAGGTTAATCAAGTGTGGTTATGAATGTATCTGATAAGTTAAAGGGAATAAACAACATTAGCAAATATCGAAAAATAAAACTACCGAATTTTTACGAAAAACCTTACTAGGATGTTGGTAAATGACAGTTTAAAGCATCCTGTAAAATTATGGCACCTGGTGTGAAGTCATCTTCAAGAAAATGGTATTTTTGTAAAAAATTTGGTCGGCCCAAATCCTAACTATTTTTTAACTACTGCTCTAAACTAACCATTTTTTCCAGTCCAAATTTTGTTTGCTTTTGGTTACATGTTCATGAATGGGTGCAGGCCAGCTAGACTGGTTTCCTTACCTTACAATTTTCCGGCATCTGTAAATTGATCCATTTTATATTTAGTGGAGTCAGGGAACCAGACTACTTGAACATTTTTGTTTTTCTTGGTTTTTCCAGCATTTTCGAACACAAAACTTCGAACATGTCAGTGTAACGATATTTGATCTATCATACTAACCCCTCAAATAGTTATTTCTAAAAATCACAGCAAAAGCCAAAGATGTATATTCCCTTTAATAACTAGGACTGATTGTTTCCTAGGTTTTCATTCATTGGTTATAAAGATTACATGGGAAGATGAACATTAGTTTGTAAAGATGACTGAGTAAAAAGGGAATCCAAATGGAACGTTTGACACTGTTAATAATGATCATTACTTCCTCCTTCCTTTCCTTTTTTCATTTGAAATCCACGAAAGCCCAAGGCCAAAAACACCAGTCAAAATTGATAACAAACATGTGGAAAAACGAACATGCAGTAAATGAGAATGACGATTATGCATTAGTGTGAAACTCAACAAGATCTACGCGGTGGTGTTGTGGAGACCTTTTCAAGTATCTTCAAACCGACCCCTATTAGCAGGCTTGAAAAAGAGTCCAACACAAGTCAAATTCACCAGTCAGCATGCCTTCAGTCACAGTCACAGAGACTTGATTGCAAACCAGCCAATTAGACAGCAAGGCAGTCAAGCTACATGTGATGGATCACAAGTTCAGTCACTAGTAAATCACAAGCCAATTTATAAGTCCTGTCACAAGTACTAGAAGATTAACAATGACAGAGGAATTTGTCACTTTGGTTGAATAGCCAGTAGTTAAACTAAAGCCCCAGTCACACGTTTACAGTATGGAGCAAGGAATATCCACAGTGTAACGAGAATCAATCGATGAACCATCGAGATTCGTGGAGAAATCAACTTTTATCCTATGGTTTCTCTATGAATACACCACGGTTTGTTAAAAATATGGACAGATTGGTGAAGAATGTCGGTGGTATTACCAAATAAAGCATGGATATTTATAGTACAACCTTAGCAGAACCCTAGCACATCTGGGCCTATCCATTGGACATTCGCAGCGAATTCATAGAGATTTCTACCACGAATGAGCTACGAATCTCCTAGAATATGTACGAACAGCCACAAATAACACTACGAATCAGTAGAGTTGCCCTACAGATGTCCCACAGTTGCACTACGGATTAATTTTCACGACAATTCACCACGGAAGTTTTGAACAGTTTAAAACCGTAGCCCCTCCACGAATACCCAAGGAAGATGACGGATACCCACGTATGTACTAAGGATGAATACGGTATTCCCAAGGTTTATCGCAAATTTAGTTCAAACCGTGGAGTTCCGTAGCTCCAAACCGTGAATGTGTGACTGGGGCTTAAGGACTGAATGACTCACGATTGACCATTGTGATGGACTTGTGATCCATCACTAATACCTCGACTACACCAACCCCCACATTATCCTTTCAAACTTCTCAATACATCTACCACATTTGGATGGTAAACTCCTGTTTTCTGGACTCACCCTGGCTGTTCGATGGGCTTGAGCAGCGTGTTGATCTTGTTCACGATCCAATTGAAGAGGCGTCCATACAGGGCCTTGGACAAGGCATCCCTGATATCCTCAGCCTGGTCCTTGGTGTTCTGACAGACGATGGTCTCATCGCAAGCGACCACGCTGCTTGTGGTGATGGCTTCTGACAAGTCGTCCTGCTCAATGCCTAGCAGTTCACTACCTACGATATTAGCAATCAGAATTCAAGGTTCAGGCCAGTTTATACTCAGCATGCAAGTAAGGGTGGCGTCATAGTAATTGGTGGGACAGTAAGGGGCGGTTCAGTACACATTTTGCTTTATATTGCCCGACTCCCAATACAATTTCTCTAATAAATTTATACTATGTTTACTTGTTATCTTGCACTGGTTTCAAAATAATAAGAAGTGAGTTTGAAATTTGATTTCACAGAGCAAATCATCAAAAGTTGAGATTAGATGTCGCGGGTTCCAATCCCTCCCCTGTCAATTTAATTGTTTTGAAAGTGAGCCTTGTCAGAATGGGGTTTTTTAATGGAATTCTTAAATGGCACCTGAGTGTTCAATATACTGTTACCCTCCGTCTTTTGTTGCATTTTGTATATGTGTTTTAAGGACTTTTTGGTTTTTACGATACCAATCGGTGCCTTTTTCTTAGCAATTTTTTTTTTTTTTTTTTTTTTTTAAACTTATCATGTTTATTTCTAACAGATAAATTGAAATTTCAAGAAGGGGAAGTTTTCAGGCTTTCATTAATGACTGGCAGGTTTAAATGGACCATTTCCCATTTGTTAAAGTTAAAAAAAAATTATATGATGAGTTTCAAATCATATGTCCCTACTTCCTCAAATTTCCCCTCCTACCCATATGGATGCCAAAATGCGAGCACCCAGCCAAGTTAAAAAGCTTACAGTACAGGCTTCTTATTATGATTGCTGGAATGGTATATTCCTTTTGCAACTTTGTTTTGTTCTTACTCTTCTGGACTTCGGCTGAGTTAGTGATGACGCTCTTGTTGACGCTGTGAGACTGTTCAGCCTCCTCAAAGCCGATCTCGCCAAGATGAATGATGCCGGCAAGGATGCTGTAGACTGAACCAATCTCCTGAGCAAACCAAAGACAGAAATCATCATCTTCATCAATGGTTATCTCCAATAAGTGTTTCTCTTCACGTTTTAGAATCAAGTATAGTTCTATCCACGGGTCACGATTGTGTTTGATGTCAGGAACCAGTTCCAGATTAATGGATTGGGTACCCGTAACCAACTTTACAAATTACTTACAATACGTATCTTCTCAGACAATAATAATAATAATAATAATACTAACAGGATTTATAAAGTGCCATTCCATCTAGATCATGGCGCCAAAGCAAGGTTTTAATGCCATTTGCGGGGAATTTTCAAAATGAAAACCAGGCTACATTGAAAATCGAAAGAGATTTCACATTTATGCATTCTAACGTGCAACAGATGACGCCCGCGAATGTTGCAGTTTACACCGTAAACCTATGAAGCCCTTCAGACAACTTCCAGGATTTGTATTTTGCGGTTGGGTTTCTTTTACGGGTGCCCGAGTACCCATGTTTTACTTCAACAGGGTAGCCGGTTCCCGTTCTACCCGTAATGCACACCACTAATGACACAGCCACATGGGATCAGTATTATAGGATGAAACAGTCACATTATGAGGATGCCATACCACGTCGGTAAATCCTATGGTCTCAAGGCAGTTGTGGATATCCTCAAACCTCTTCCGCAGCTCAGGGAGCCGATCGGGATCCGTGGAGGAAGGATCACCCAAGTGAAGATATCTGTCAAAGAAGGATCAAAGATAACCAAGCAAAATAATCAAAGGTTTACCAGGGAGAGAGTATCCTGGGTTGCTTTAGATTGAAATGCCTAACCCCCTTCAGATCTCAAACCCTGGTGGATTGTGAAGAATCTCGGAGGGTGTAGGGTTAGTAAATCATTCTGGTTAGCCAGGGGCAAGTCACGCGCTAGTCTACAATTGTTGGACCAGTCTCTTTGACTATTCAAGACCAGCCAACAGCGGCTAGTCGTGCCACGATTTAAAGCTAGTTATCACTAGCAATTTTTTCATAGCTTAGTGCAAAGGGGACCAACTATCAAAATGGCAGAAAAATGAACTGTATATGAGTGGTAAATTTCATTTTCATGGCATAATTTGTCCATGTTAGTTTACGAGTCTGTCACTTTTGTCACCATTGTACAATAGCAATGGTGATTATGAAAGGTGTCCTAAACTACACAATCACTATTACTTGTATTCTAAACAGAAACACCAAGTGTTGAAAAGTTCTTTAGTTGATGTGCGACCGCCATATTCTCACAGTTGTTGACACGACAATAGTTCGACTAGAGTTGTTCGTACTTCAACTTCAGTGCGCATGCGCTATGTACGTCACGAACCAACCACTAGTTAACCATTGGTCCTTCATCTAAGGGCAAGTTCGCGCAAGAACTATTGTTGACCATTGGTTAACAATAGTTTGACTAAAGTTAGCCCGAACTCTGTCAAGTCGACGGTGGTTGACTACTGGGGCTGGTTGCATCCCTGGTATCCACTAGCCGCGCGCATTCACAACGTACAGCAGGGAGCCAGGATCCAGAAGTTTTACGATGACATTTTGACCAGTGTTTGACTAGAGACGTTTGCACGTTGCTATCAGTGCGCAGGCGTAGGGTACGTCACAAATCACCCACTAGTCGACTGTTGGTCCTTGCCTGAACTTGGACTAACTTGCCCCAGAATGCATATTAAAGCCGCCCTCAATCAAACACTGGTCTGTGTTTCAGCTGTATTCCCTATGCAGAGTCAACGAAGGGTTCAAGATCATTTAAAACCGTTATTTAGCAAGTAGGGTTGTGGCGTGTTTATCACACAACAGTCGGGACGCGATTATGGCACACTGAACATACCTGTATGTTTTGTTGAGCTGAAGATGGTAGTTACAACTTTGGTTGCTCTCAGCTAGACCGGCTAAGATGTAATAGAAGATGTGGAAGTTCTGCTCCTCTCTACAAGCAAGAAGAAAGAGAGAAGATATATAACTATCACACTGGCCTCTCTAAGGCTTCAAAAAACTAAAATTAAAAAATTGCAATGATTACAGTAATAGGATTCTGTAATCTAATTTACAATTATATCACAGCAATTTGATTTTGTTTCTGTCATGCTAAACTCACAATGCCTGTGTAGGACCCTGGATTTCTATTGTATGATCCTTGATTTTCCTGGAATGCCAAACTAACTTCGCCTTCTGTAGGACCCAGGATTTCTGTATAAAACCCTGGATTTTTCCAGCGTGCCAAACTCTTTGCACCTGTTGTAGGACCCTGGATTTGTGTTTTAGGACCAAGGATTTTCCTGGTATGCCAACTCCTTTTGCCAACCCTGGATTTCTTTTGTAGGACCCTGGCTTTTTCCCGGCAAGCTCAACTCACTTTGCCTATTGCTGGGCCCTGGATTTCCTTTTGTAATAGCCTGGATTCTCAGGCATGCCTACTCACTTTGCCTGTTGTAGGACCCTGAATTTGTGTTTTAGGACCAAGGATTTTCCTGGTATGCCAACTCCTTTTGCCAACTGTTGGGGTCCTGGATTTCTTTTGTAGGACCCTGGGTTTTTCCCAGTTAGCCCAACTCACTTTGCCTATTGCTGGGCCCTGGATTTCCTTTTATAAGAGCCTGGATTCCCAGGTATGCCAACTCACTTTGCCTGTTGTATGACCCTGGATTTCTCCAGCAGATACTGGGAGATGACAGCCCCCATCACCTGGCCCGTGCTGGTGAACTTCAGCTCCAGAAACTTGCCAAAGCGACTGGAGTTGTCGTTGATGACAGTCTGGGCGTTACCGAAGGCCTCAAGTAAGGGGTTGACCTGCAAAACACGCTGCTCCAATGATCGGTTTATGGCCTGTAAAAAAATTGTGCACAGTAAAGGAAAATCAAGCATGCTCCTGTTAAATTGTGTTAAGAGTAAATAATATACAAATATTGAGTGGCTCAGAGTGGAGTGGGAGGAATATTATCGCAAGGTAAAATCTGGACAATTTAAAGCCACTCAATATTTGTTTTATATAACTGACATATAGATCCTTGTTATTTGATATATTTGACCTTTTATTTCAATACAAAATTGGTGGAAAATGTATTTCTCTCTTCCAAACCACCCCTTCACGAAAATGTTTGAACCCAACTCTGCAGCATACATTTGCACACAAATACCACGTCACGGAACAAGAATGATCGTAACTGTTCAATAGTATTTCCCATTCCCCATGGGCGAATGGGACTTTTTGTGCCCTGGCGTGAATGGGAGTAATAGCAAATGTCATGTGATGTGAGTTCCATCAATCAAATGACAAGGATCTGTATGTCGGTTATATAATAGCAAATAACCTACTACTTTGGTAGCAGAGGTATCATTAGTTACACAACATCTGTACTGATCACCTCATCCTTGACAAAGTGGTTCTTCATTGAACAAGATCTGATATGAGTCCCTTGTGGATACTTTCAGATTAGGTCATGTATAGCATACGCCTCTATTGTACTGCTCACTTGTGCTTTTTGTGTACAGGGGTATAGGGCCAGCAACTCTTGTGTTTGTCTTTGTTTTTTTTACAATTTATTCTGAGCAGTAATGAAGCATTTGACTGGACCATCAGAGTTAACACTTTTGTGGAGCATGCTGTCTTTCACATTTGCATTTTACATTAAAACAAAATAAACTGCCTGAGTATTAACGGTTAACAGACGCCGAAAAAGGGAAACTACTTTATATGATTGTGAAGCTACATATTTGGTACAGAATTTGAAGTATTTTTGGGGTAATTTATCACACTTTTGGAGGAAAGAAGTCATTGCTCATGACTATGGACATGGCTTTGCTCTCTTCACATTTATTGAAACAAGTCATTGAAAAAAATCAATAATACCTTGTACCCTAAATCAAAAGTATTAACATTAATTTTAAAAAATGCAACCCCAACCCCCAAAAAGCTTTCCAAAAGAGTGTAGACACTTTTTCACTATTCGTACCTTTCCAAGTTTGGTCAGCTGCTGTACAAGTAGATTGGCGCTCTCTGTCTTGCCAGCACCACTCTCCCCACTCACTATCAGACACTGCAGAAATGAACAAATACAAAAAAAAGTAACCAACGATAAGACTCTAAAGCCCAAATCCATGTGTCCATATTGTTTAACCAAATTTTTTCAGACACTGCAGAAATGAACAAATACAAAAAAGTAAACAACGATAAGACTCTTTGGCCCAAATCCATGTGTCCATTACACTTAACCAAATTTTATTCAATCCATATTTTAGCAATTCACAATTCAGAAAGCTTCCATTGGATGGTGCGTATTCTGCTTTACCCGCTTTGCATAACCGAAAAATTTGACACCCATTTGATTTGCCAAAAATTGCATCTGGTACATGTTTTTTAAATATATTTATGAACAATCTTTCAAGCTGTCTCCCTGTGCTTTTTTGTAGTTTCATCCCGAAAAACAGATTTTGTTTTGTTAAATTGCTATTTTTGTAGAATTACAAAAGTTATTCACTTTGAAAATTAGATATCGAGCAAAAAATATCTGCTAACATTTAGTTATGGAAAAATTACTTTTACAAATTTTAAATGTTTTGCGGCCTAATAATAATTCACATGCATCTTTTGTGCACTGTAGGAGCAAAAGCAGCCCAAAGAAAAGGCACATTTTCAGAGGGTGGAAACATCAAAAATGCAAAAATGTAGATTTTTCCCGAAAAACCTGCAAATGACAAATTTGTAAGAAGAAAAACACTGAATATGCCGAAGAGCATGGGAAGACAAAATTTAAGTTCTCACCTGGTTGTGATTGTGAAAGAGTAGTGCCTGGTACGTGCTGTCTGCCATGCCGAAGATGTGGGGCGGGTTTGCCTGTTTGGGGGCATGCCTGTACAACTCTGAAAACTGCAGAAAAAACAAAACAGAAATAGCTTAATCAAATGTCAAAAGTGTCCAATGAAAACAATCTTCTCTAAATAAAGCAGACAATTCTGCACTAACAGGAGATAATGAATTGGGATTACTCAGTCTGTTATCGCAGATAGCCATCTGGGTGTAAGGATTGTCAGCTATGGTGTGTCTCCTATATAGGTGTAAGTATTGACAGCCATTTGAATGTCTCCTATATAGGTGTAAGTATTAACGGCTATTTGAATGTCTCCTGCATAGGTGTAAGTATTGACAGCCATTTGAATGTCTCCTATATAGGTTTAAGTACAGACAGCCACTTGAATATCTCCTATATAAGTGTGAGTATTAACAGCTATTTGAATGTCTCCTGCATAGGTGTAAGCATTGACAACCATTTGAATGTCTCCTACATATGGTGTAAGTATTGTCAGCCATTTGAATGTCTCCTATATAGGTGTAAGGATTGAAGGCCCATTCAATGTCTCCTATAAAGGTGTAAGTATTGACGGCCGTTTGAATGTCTCCTTGGGTAAGGATTGATAGCCATTAGAATGTCTCCTACATAGGTGTAGACTTGACCCTTCATGCAGCGACAGATCACAGATTAGGTTTACTCACACTATTATCATAGATAGCCATCTGCGTGTAAGGATTGACAGCCATTAGAATGTCTCCTATGTAGGTGTAGATCTGACCCTTCATGTAGCGGCCGTACAGATGCTGAACGATACAATCCTAGCAAACAGACAAACAGCACAAAGCGCATGGTTACTTTTGAACTTGAGACCTGGGGCTAACTTCAAAGAGCTACTAAGCACAGAAAATATCTGCTTTTGACTAGCGCCCCTTGAACAAAAACAGTGACAAAATTGGGAATCGCCAACCTAGGGCTGGATAGCTCAATTGGCAGCGCACGGAAACGGCAATCTGGTGGTTCCAGGTTCAAACCCCCCTCCAGTCTACGTCTTTGTTCAAATTTTTAAAACTGTTATAATGCACCTAGTTAGTTTGCTGTTGTGCTTTATTTGAAAAACAATTTTTGCTTAACCAAAACCTTAAGTCACCGTCACGCAATGCTTGTGACTTGTTCTCAGCTGCCTTTTGTATAGCACATAAAATTGTGTAGCAGTATTTTCTGCTCAATGAAATTGGTACCCCATATCATACAAGCAGCACTGTCAATGTTATTGAAACTGTAATGGTTGCACTGTCTTCTTTGTGTGTAGTCTGATTGACTGAGTGCGCATATACATGTGTATGCGGATGAGGATATCTAAATTAGTCGACCCCTTATCAGAGGTCACAAGGACAACAACTTGCTAGCCATAACAACTTGCTAGCCATTCTCAGACTCCTAATCCGAGTGAGAAACATGAGGCTGTGTTCAGACTAATGGTTATTCTCACATGATATCAACAGGCTGAGTGTACAAATGTTCTTCAGAGTTGGCCACTACCACATCTCATACCACATATTTCAAGAGTGAGAGAGAGAGATGTTTAATACCTGTGTGAGGTTTTCTAGCTGAGCTAAATCATTGACCATGTCCGGGGTTCTCCTGCTGGATTTATGCAGGCCACGTGTCCGCACTGGGTTCAATTTGCCATGCCTGCGGAAATAAATACATTAAAAATATTAGTCATACAAAACATTCGCAAGTGCTGGGAGATGAAACTGATGTTCAAAATCCTATCAGCATCATTATGCAGTGACAAGACATTCAACAAACCCAATCGACGTCATTTTCTACTTCACCATGTCCCAAACTGTTGTCAAGTCATCATAAGTCCTCACGAGTTAGTCACGTGTCATCCAATGTCAAGTCGAGTGACCAGAAATAATTTGCTATTCAAATTAATTTTAATCTATTAAAATGAACTTTGAACAAGACATTATATTGTCATTGATCATGTCTTATTAATTGTGACCTGAAGTGGTGATTTGACGTGTGATTTGGACTTGAGTTGTGATGCACTTGATTTCAACAGCACCCTGCAGGTTGATGCCAGTTCTGTAGTCTGAGTACTTGCGATAGATCACAACGTGACATGTCCGGCCACAAGTCAACGCCACACGCCTAGTCACAAGTCCAGTCACAAGTCCAGTCACAAGTCCAGTCACAAGTCCTTTCACAAGTCCTTTCACAAGTCCAGTCACAAGTCCAGTCACAAGTCCAGTCACAAGTCCAGTCACAAGTCCAGTCACACGTCCAGTCATAAGCCCAGTCACAAGTCCAGTCACAAGTCCAGTCACAAGTCCAGTCACAAGTCCATCACAAGTCCAGTCACAAGTCCAGTCACAAGTCCATCACAAGTCCAGTCACAAGTCCAGTCACAAGTCCAGTCACAAGTCCAGTCACAAGCCCAGTCACAAGCCCAGTCACAAGCCCAGTCACAAGTCCAGTCACAAGTCCAGTCACAAGTCCAGTCACAAGTCCGGTCAAAAGTCCAGCCACAAACCCAGTCACAAGTCCAGTCACAAGTCCTGTCATAAGCCCAGTCACAACTTCAGTCACAAACCCAGTCACAAGTCCAGTCACAAGTCCGGTCACAAATCCAGTCACAAGTCCGGTCACAAGTCCATCACAAGTCCGGTCACAAGTCCAGTCACAAGTCCAGTCGCAAGTCCAGCCACAAGTCCAGCCACAAGTCCTTTCACAAGTACAGGAATGAACATCAGCAAAAGAAAGCCCTTGTACAGATTGTGAGTTGACTTGGGACTGGATGACTTGTGATCATTTTTGATGGAATTGTGAGGACTTGTGATCCATCACAGGCAACACCGGTTGATAAGTTTCATAATCTTTCTCACTTACTTTGTGGTGACCTCAGGCACGTGCGTCAGTCCGTCAGTCTCCGTGTACAGCCCAATCAGGCCAGTCAGTTGGGACTGTACCACTGAGACATCGGCGGGCACTTTGGCCAGGAAGGGGTGCGATAGAAGCTCGGTGGTACTGGCTCTCTGCTCGGTGTCTTTCACCAGGCACCTGGTCAAATTGTGATGAGGGGGTAGTGGAGAAAGAAATTAGAGGAATATAGAAAATACATTCAAAATTTCTGCAGTAAGCCCCCTTAAATATTGATTCAGGCATTGCAATCAAGAAGCTTTGTTGTCTAAGAGCCATGCTACTGAAAAACACCAATCGTCTGGCGGCCATTTGGAAAAATCCAAGATGGCCGCCACGCATGCATTAGGGAAAATGGAAACATTAGTTTTCTACTTTGGTATACTACAGTTTCCAAAAATGTATAGTTTTGCAAATCCCCGAACAAAAAAATGAACAGGTTTTATGAAGTGATGAAGAAGCATTCCATTGGTTGTACCAATGCCCATTTCTATTCTTGTATTGCATGTTTGAGTCTCAAGTGTTGTATTTCTACACATATTTTCAGTCCCAATTTTTTTAGATATCATTTTTTTAATAGTGCCATACTTGTACCTTGCAATGAAATCATTGTACTCAGGAGACCATTTGGCAGGGTGCTGTATGGTTGGTGGCTTGTTCCTGCAGAGGAATGGAAATTATGTTCAATATAGCGCCTTTTACCAAAGGTATCAAAGTGCTTTACAATTATTACCCCTGTTCATCAGGCCACGAGACCAGTTCTGCAGCAGCTCAATATTAGCGCATATGGCCCGTACCTTTGCAGGTACCCATTTACTCCTGGGTGGAGAGAAGCAATGCGTGACAAAGTGCCTTGCCCATAGGCACACCACCATAACCCCAGGCTGAACCTGAACCCACAACCTGCAGCTTTACCTGCAGACCACAAATCCAACGCCCTTAACCACAAGTCCACAGCATTCCACTGAGTGCTTGACATAACGAAGACTTGAGAATGCCAACAAGAGGGGTGAGACTTGGGGGAAAGTGAAAGCTCCACAAAATAATCAGCAGAGGGTCACCGAGGGCCCAATCGCAATGCAGGGTCTATGGTGTATGCTGGTATTTGCCTAAAGGTCCATGTTGCCCGACAATGTTGCGCGTTTATATTACTACGCACAAATCAAGGAGTGATAAGACGCACGACTAAGTTGCGTAATTGTGAAAGGTTCATTGCACTGTACGCACTTTGAAAGACGCTCAACATTGTCATGCAACAAAGAGGCCATTCGGGCACCCGTTACAGTGCCCATTTCTTTTGTTGCATATAAACTCTGAAAGGTGAAAACACCTTTACGGTAAAACCTCAAAAAACGTTAAAAAAATCAGGAAAAATCTTGAAAAATCTCACCCCTGCAACAAATTTAAGAGCCAATGCAATGTCACTGAAAGAACTTTTGTGGTTCAAGATCTTGGTCTCAGTCTTGGTTTCAGTGAGTGGTCTCGGACCAGAAAGTTTCAGCTTAAGTCTCAGGCCTCCGAGTCTTGGTATCAGACCTTCTGGTCTCGACTACAACACTGATACACTGTGACAAGTGCGATACTTCACATGTCTTGACTAGACAGATTTTTGGTTTATTTATCATCACCTTGGTATCTTCATGAGAGCTCTCATTGGATGCAGGTTCTTGAGCGGTGGCTCACCATCCGCCAGTTCTATCGCAGTGATGCCCAGAGACCAGATATCACTCCTGCAAATGACAGACAATTAAACATCAATCAAATAATGAGGGCAATTAATATTAAAAAAGCCTAAATACCTACATTTTGGCCTCATTGTACAAGATCTGATGTTCCTGATGAAGACCACTGGACCTATATTCAGCCACAGCTTCCAACTCCGTGCAGGAGGCTTGGATCACGTGAAGCCACAGTTGAACACTATGTCAATGTTTCGAAAATGCCCACGCATGTTAAAGAAGGAAAATTGACACAGTGCATCCTTCAAAATCAGCCGGACATTTTTTCCATATAGCCTCAATCCTGCAAAATCCTCCATTTTGCAAAGAGGATTATTGGAGGATTTTGGGAAGGTTGGGGTTAAGCTTACTATATAGGTACTTTCACACTATTGGCTCCCCTACCTGTGTAGCAGTTGTCACAGGTCCACTGTAAGCAGAACTAGGACCCACTGAACACAGCTAGGCAGAGCGTACTTTTCACACCTACACCATTCTTTATGGAGAATGATAAAAGCCCTTTTGCTTCCAACTGCTTATGTTTTCTTTAACCTTTTATTTTTAACCAACTAAAACTTTCAGCTTGACTCACTTAGTGCCATAGTAGCACTCCAGTTGTTGCCCACAAGCAATGACCTCAGGCGCCATCCAGTACGGGGTACCGACGGACGTGTTGCGCTTGCTACGCCCTTTCAATACTGCAGACACACCTGCATAAAAAAGAAAAAGAAATAAAATAGCAGATTGTAAACACTCATTTCATTTGGTCTAATACTGACAGTTTCTCAACTGGTTTCAGAATACAGACAGAATATTAACAAGACAAGGAAAGCCTTGTAAGCTGGTAATAAAAATTCTACTCAATTAATTCAAACTGGCTAACCACTGGAAGTCTTTTCATGCACCTGTTTGCACAATGGGCCAGATTTAGCCCAATCTCTGGCTCAAAAGTGACAGTGAGTCAGTAGTTCAGCCAATCAGAGTGATGCAAAGAGGCAGGGTTCATGCACCTTTCGGAAAATAAAATTCCACGACTTTTCCGTAACCAAATTATGAAAATCCATAACCTGTAAAACTTGTTCTGTTAAAAGTGCTTAAACAGAAACAGAAAAACAACCAAGCAAAGCAAGAATGCCTTTCGAAATCAATATTGTATTGATCAGCGAAATTTGTAGCATTCTGTCGGGTATAAAAATCAGTTTTCTGAGGGTAACTTATGAATATACAAAGTTTAAATTTCAAAATAAATTGGTCCTCACAAAATTCCGTGTCTTTTCCATGACCTTTGTCATTTTTACAAATTTCTCTGACTTTTCCAGACCTGGAAATTGAAAATAAAAATTCCACGACTTTTCCTGTTTTTTTTCCCGTGCCATGGGAACACTGAAGAGGACTATAGGTTGGCCCTCTGTGACAATTATACAGGGTGTCTAAAAAATACCGAACCCTCAAAGCGTCCTCTTTTTCACAACTTTTCCAAAAAATTCATCGCGAATATCTATACAAATTTTGAGAGTATAGTTCATTAGCTTTTCAACAACGAAGAAATCTTTCCAATCGGGTAAATGTTTATTGAATTATGGCCAATTCAAAGTAAGTACCGCTTTTGCATTTTGTCCATGGCAGCTGATATTTTGACTGCCGCAATAAGAACACAGACCGAAACTTTCATTTGTGAAAAAAAGGCTACCAAGTAGAGGGCAGAGACAGAGCAGCACAGTAATCATCTAAGAAGTTAACCAAACAGTTCTTTTCAGGACTACCATTATTCCAAAAGGATAAAATGACCATTGCTGCAAAAAATAGAAACTCAAATGAACAAAATAAAGAATGAATTATTAAAACATTAAAGAAAGCAAAACTTCCCCCAACCCAAATCCAGTACATTCCTAACAAATGACAATTGAAACCGTGGACAGATTAAAAAATCTGCACTTATTTTGAAATGGCCGTAACTCAATAACTATTTACCCGATTGGAAATATTTGTTTCGTTGTTGAAAAGCTAATGACCTATACTCTCTAAATATGTATTTGCAGTGTTTTTTTTTTAAAAAGCTGTGAAAAGGAGAATACTTTGGGGGTTCGTTATTTTTTTTAAAACACCCTGTATCATACAGAAACAATTATATCATAGACGCTACTGAACATATTTCATTGCTTTCCAGGACAGTAATTATATTGAAGGAATGTTTCCAGCATAAAAACGGTCTGAGGGGAATTTGGGTTAATTCAACATGACGGACAAAAATCAATAATGAACCCCTATTAAGTCACTCACAACCGAATCAGTTTAAATGTCTAACTTTAGAAAGCCTGCCCGTCCAACAGAGAGGCTGCATACACATTGTTGATAATAAAGAATTGAATGGAAGTCAATATTGATCAGCGCAATTTCCACTTAAACGTAGTATTTAACTCTTTGTTTGCTTTTCTCAGAACTGGAGAATGCCTCGATTTACATACTAATGGATACATTATCATTTTTTCATGACAGGTGGTGTCTTAAAGGTACATGGAATTATTTGCTTTGTTGCAAATTGGGGGTTTTTTTTACATTGAAACAACAAAATTGCTCATAATCATAAGAAGGGTACATAACAACTAAATTGTTGATGTTTAGTGGATACCACATTTTTCTTAAACTCTTAAAGAACTCAACCCATCAAACCCCAACAGCATGTTTTGTTGGAATCTGTCGGGATGGGTACAGTACCCCTAAACTGACAGTCTTTTACATTGGGTTGGCACACCTCCAGAATCAAAGTCAGAAATATGTGTGTGCAGTTTCCCATATGGTGTTGGAATTTGCCAGGATGGGTATGGTTCCTAGTAAATCATGCTAGGGATTTAGGGTTAAAGAAAACAGAGAAAAGCTATGCAAATTTCTTGGTCGCACAAGTAAAAAATGCTGTATCGCATGTTGAATTGCACCCTCTCAATGTCCCAAAATCAGCTCTCAGAATATGATTCTCATTTAGTTATCGACGTCTGATCCCAGTGGATAAGTGATCTTTGCAGAATGTCACATTTTAAAGAAAGTGTGCCCGTGTGCGTAATTTTTTTTTTAAAAACCCTTTCAATTATTGTTTCCTTAGTAGGTTTGTTTCTGGGTTATTACCAATGCTCTTACACGCCTTTAATAAACCTAAGTGCACAAGCATGAAGTATGATTATAAATAATATGTAGCACAGATGTCTTGGAAACATGATAGAATACTCAGCTGAAATATGCTTTATCTAGTGTTTTCAACACTGTGGCAATCTCATGCTACTCACCAAAGTCAATCAATTTGATGCGCGAGTCTGAGGTCATCAAGACATTATGACCTTTGACATCGCGATGCATGACCCGATGACTGTGCAGGTGATGGAGGGCCTATGAGACAAATAAAAACACTTCATTTTAATGATTTCATTTTTTTATAACCAAACAGCATGAACAGTTTAATAGCAGGACCAGGTAGTTACCTATATATGTACATGATATGTTTTAAAAATTTGCATTTTTATTATTGTTAAAATGATGACAATGTAATTAATCAATTATTCAAATTACCATGCTAAGCAGCTTGTGAGTTTGAGCCCTACCTGAAAAAGCTTGTGAAGGCTCTCAAAAAAACAGTGAGCATTGTCCAAGGAGTGGAAACTCACATTACATAAACAAACTGTGTCATTTACGGATTTGTTTGTTGTACTAATTTGAACCTTGAGAAAGGTTCTGAAATATTTTTGCATGATTGACCAATTTGAAATACTCCATGTGTAGCTAAGGCTATGAATCAGTACGTGTGAATTAAAAACATTTTCAAGTCAGTTTATTGACAAGACATGGGCAACATTTTTATGCATTTGATATTTAACATTTGTAATATTGGATGGCTTTGATGGGGCTATACAAGAATATATTCCACAAGCTATAACAATATTGCACAAGTCGAAGACGAGTGCAATATTGTTATACGAGTGCAATATATTCTTGTATCCCCCGAAAAAAATCCAATCTTATTTTTTTTTTTATCAGGCTGACTTGATCCACAAGAAATAAATTTCAGGACACTGTCTTTATTTCTCACATTTTGTCAAATATTCTTCACTTCATGACGAAAAAATTAAAGAAATCTTTTTAAAAAATCGCAAGAATAGTGTTATTATGCTAATTTGAATACAAGTCACCAAAGTCACTGTTGTCCATGTGTAAGTCTAGTGAAGTGTTTTTTGTCTTCAAATCAAGATCCGGAACTCAGTCAAGCGGATGAAATAAAGCCGTTCGTGGACAAACAGGTTTGGCACATGAAATTTTTTAAACTACCATATCTCAGAGACAAAGTGTGCCTTTGCAATACATTTTTTGTCACTTATGATTAAAGATCAACATTTTAATACCGTAATATTGAATTTTTGAAATACGCTCAACAAGTAGGTGAAAATTGCGATCAAAAGTGGGTTTCCTTCTTTTTACACCACCCTGCATGTAATTAATCTGTCCAGTTCAGTGTGATACCAGCAGGACCAATGTCCAGTCCTAGATTTCGTCCTTCTAAAAAAAAGCTGCAACTGGAAAAAAAATCAGTAGCACCTTTCTACTGTTAATCTCATGCATTTAATTTCCTGTATGGTTCTCATCCGCAGGCCTCATTACACACAGCAAGCAGTGTGTACGATCTACCAGCCAGTGTGATTACCGGCCAATCCATAACAACCTACATTCCACGACTGTTGGTGCATGCGCAGACACCGGACCTGTTGAAACGGAAGCCGATGGAGGGGTCGCCATGGCAACATCAATGAGCATCCTGATTAGGGGCAGGTGATTTTTGTACGATACATGCAATTTACAGTAGCGTCGGTGCTTGAAGGGAGGACAGGGAATAATTAGGACAGAATGGACAATGAGACTGCGTAGGCATGGATTAAATCGAAGCTACCAGTGTGCGTTCTGCTTGCGTATATTAAAATAAACAGATTTTCAAATTCCTTTGATTTTGCAGACATACAGTGACCGGCCCGAACCACCACATGAAATCTGTTGGTCATGTTTTTTTAGAGGTGGCGCAGTTCAGGGTGAGTCAAAAAGGAAGTGACCGAATTAGAATTTTTTTTTTATTAAATATGTTGCTCGCTCCAGTTCATAAAAATAACACAGGGATAAAGTACATGTACATGTATGTTATTGACAGTAACTGTGAAAATTTCACGTAATTTGCATACTCTATTCCCAAGTTATGCCTATTTTAATAAAAAGAGCACACAATTCAGCCGTCCACCACTTATCATTTACTGTTCTACGAATTGATGAATACCTATTAAATACAATGAAACATGGACATTTTCCCACCTCCACGAATGAACAAAATCTTGTAAAAGAAAACAGACAAAAATTGCCATCAATATCAGGAGGGAAAAAAAGAGTTGACTTGTTCCTCATATTCAAAACACAAAATCCGACAGTTGAAAATAATTTTTCATTCTTGATTCAAATTATTAAAATCTGATTTGTATTTGAATGCCTGTGTGTAATCTATAATTCGCACTAGGCTCAATAGCTTCCAATGGCATTCCGTGGACAGCTTTAAAAAAAATGATTTGTTTAGTAAAACATGCATAATTTTGATAGCATGGATCAATTTAAGTTATTTTTTCTGATGAGTGGAAGAACATGCTTCTTTAAGACATACTTCATTGGTGTATCAAATTTGATTGGTTTTTAAGAAAAGAAATCATTAATCCAGGTCACTTTTCTTTTTGACTCACCCTGTGTATTTAATGCATAACCTAATGCGATTGATAAGGAATGGCAAATGCTGTCCGTGTGTACCTCCTATTAGTCGCGTGGGCAGATGATAATTAGCCTTGTCTTAAAATTAGGTCGGCTAAGTGGCACGGTCTCTAAACGAGAGTTTAATTAAATTAGGGAATTTTCATAACAAGTGGTTACAGTTTCCTTGAAACAGGAAAAAAACCTAATGAGTTCAAGAATGATTGTTATTTATTAGTATTATCTTCGGTATAATTTAGGTACTAAAATGAACATTTCTGTATTGAAAAGCATTCTTAACATAGTGGGCTAGAGCTTAATATTGAGTTTGAAACAGGAACAATTCCCAATGAGTTTTAGAATGATTGTTATTTTTTTAGTGTTATCTTTGGAATAATTTAGGTACTAAAATGAAAATTTCTGTATTGAAAAGCATTCTTATTATAGTGGGCTAGAGGTTTATATTAGTAATTTAATAATTTGTGTGTGATGGGTCATAAAGCGTGGTTCATAATCATTCCATAAATACCTTACTTGCATCCCTCGTGTCATGGATGACATCAGAAGTCTCTCTCTTACAAGAATGTGTGTATTGAACTTATATACATGTACTAGGAAGCAATGTAACAATGTTACTACAGACCTTCAATGTTTCTCGCAGGATGTAGGCGATGATGACCTCGTCTGGTTTCTCGTGGCTCTCCAGCATGCCGCGTACGAGATCCGTCACGGCACCAGCCTCACAAAGCTGCAGAAACAGTGAGCCGAGTCAGCGTTTAACACGTGAACGTATTAAGTATGCAGTAAATAAAACAGTCAATTTCAGCAAGGAAAAGTAACCACCAAGAACAAAGCAGGGTTTGAGTCCAAGATCCTAAGAAGGTGTAACTGATTGACATTTGACTGTAAGCTACATGTATACATGTACATGTACATGTTTTAGTAACTGTACTACATTGTATTACATTGTATTACATTTTATGAATTCCCTGATGGATCTATTAACCCTAACTCCCTAGTTTCTTTTACTAGGTTTATTTCTAAATAAGATAATGGAATTTTTTAACTCGGGATTAATGTTCCATTTTAAATCTGTTTATCTATACATCGTCTGTTTTTATCTAGGGTTTTTATTTTGTGTGGTTTTAATTGCTTGGGTTATACAGCGTCTGTTGTAATTTAGGGTTTTAATTTTCTGTGGTTTTAATTCCTTGGGTTATTTTTAGTAATATATTCATTATGTCTTTTTTTTTTTTTTTTTTAATTTTTGTCGTTATTATATCATGTTTTTCTGTAATCCAGGGCCCCAAGGGAGAACAGTTCATTGACAACTGATGGGGCCACCCTGGCAAAATAACACGAAATAAATAAATAAATAAATAAAATAAACTAAGTGCAGGACCAAGTCCATCAACCTGACCCTAGCCCACAAACTGACCCTGCTTCACATGCTTCAGGACCAAATCCGCTGAATATCCACCAAGAGACCACCACTACTACAGGTGGATTTTGATGGACTTGGTACTCATGTGGATTTGGGAAGGTTGGAGTTAAACTATACAATGCTGGGGAAGTACATGGTACAGGGACTACCAGGTAAAAACATTGTGGTTCTATTGTGTATGTGTATATGCCTACCTCGATTACCAGCCAGATTTGATTGTGCTTGGTAGCGGGCGTGGATTTGTAGTATGCGCCAAAGAAGCGCGGCAGGTTACGATGATCGCAGCAGTCCTTGAGGATGTGATACTCCGCCTCAATCTCCTCCTCTATATCGCTCACCGCATCCATGACTGCAAACCAAAGATGATATTTCTTCTCATTTTCCTCTTTAACACGGGTATCTTCGAGATATCATAGCACTTCCCCACAAGTCGATCACAAGTCATCCAGTTACAATATAAGACACGAAACAAGCTATTCAGATGAACAGTCACTAAGGCTTCACAACTGTTCAAACCCTGTTACGTGTGTTTGTGATGAGACATTTGAACTGACTTGAGATTTACTTGTGACTGGACTTGTGATGGACTCAACCACAAGACTGCTTTATTCTCATTCCTTCTGGTGATTCAATGTAGGGATTACGTTAAGGAGAATACACGAGAAAGTGTGGATTCGTAATTTAAGAATTCAAGATGCACAAAGCGCCGAGTGAATTCGTAAATTAGGAATCCACACTTGCGAGTGTATTTTTCGACTTAAACCATTGTGTCAAATGAAGTATTGTCATTAACAGTCCAGTGAGTGGAGATGAAAAGACTTGCATATCTTGTGTCGAGTCGTGGCCAGTAGGGTAATTTACAAGGGAGTTTTTCCAGGCTCTTATACATTATCAAGCATTGTGGCATGTTATGTGTATCGCCACACCCGTACAACCAAGTCGTTTTGTGTGTATAGGCTCCTTTCATCAACATGGATAGTTCAGACGACGATTTTTCTGACTCAAAGTAGTTTTTGCAGTGACGACAGAGAATCTGACAGTGAAGATGCATTGGTAATTTTCGGAAGGAAAGTTTTTACGCAGACGGTCCTATTAATGCTCATTATGGATAACAATTGTCCGACATGTTCAAAGTGTGGAAAGATTTGTGGTTGTGAATTCAAACTTTGTGACCAGTGTAACAGATTCGTAGTTCCGAATCCACACTTTTAACAATAGTGTGACGTCATAGCAATGGTTTAAACCAGTACGCCACACAACCTCTATGTAATACTAAAAGTAACATATCGTAATACAAATGTTCACCATGAAAACTTAAAGAGTGCATTAAAAGATGCAAATGCACTGTGCAATGTGTAGCTCAGGCCTGAACAAAACGTTTAATTGTTCTGGAGAAGTAGGCAAATGGCACTGTTGTCAAAATGTATATCAACCCATTGACTTCAGCGTTGCTGAAAGTTTTTCCGGTTATCCAGTCTATTCCCCAATCCCACTCTCCCAAAGTCTGGTGCCCCGACTTACTCTTTGCTGCAGCATACTCCCCAGTCTCCAGATTGCGCACCTTGAAGACGCCCCCATACGTGCCCTCTCCTATAGCTTCCAGCAGCTCCCAGTGATCGGTGGGGCTGGGCAGGGACTCACACATGTCCTGAAGCCTCCCCGCCATTCGGCTTGTAGACGAGTCCTGCGAGAAAAAAACCAACAAAAGAATCAACTGAAGTTTAGTACTAGAATTGAAATCAAGTTGGTTATCACATACCGCACCAGCGTGGACAGATACCGCATACCACGCCATCCCATGGTACAGTGCGGTGAGGCACTTATGTGTGGGGACAGTTTTGTGCATCCTCGACCCCAATATATGTACGTCAATTCCAATTACCAACTTTAGTAACTTAGTTATTGGCTTTGTACACAACGTACGGTAAATGCTACCAGATTTGGACTTAGCAGTCTGGTTTGGTTATATCCATATAACACCTTAGCTCACGCGTTTGTGCTACACACGTACGTACACCCATTCTGTGCGTGGTGAATTGAGCACAGCACGGACTGAGTCCCATTCTTCGAGGAGTCAAAAGCTAATTTCTGAGCTGTTGGCATCCATCATGTTTGTTTCTTATTCAGAAAACAATTATGTTTGATATTTTCTAATGTTATTATTATACCATTGAGTTTAATATTCTAATCAAGATAGTTCAAACATACATGTTCACTGATCCAGTCAGTGAAAGATGCATGTATCCCCGCTCTAATAATGGATGCTTCCGCATTGGTTAAAGGGAGCTATCATTGGCTCTATGGAAACACAATGCATTTTGATGGGTGCATAAACATGATAAATGAATATCCGTTCGAAATGCATGTTAGTCAAGTCGCTCGACATGTTAAAGCCAGCAAATGATAATAAACATGGTACATTGGGCAGTGCTAGTAAATATTAATTGCGGGTGCCGACAAACAAAACAAGTGTTTTGTCCTCAAGTCTAGTTTAGTACCGGGTACCGGTACCTTAAAACATAATATCAGCGATGACGAGAAAATTAACAGTAAAAGGCTAGACAGCTCAGCTGCCAGAACGCCCTTCCCGACATACAATGTAATCTCACAAGTACTGGTAAAAACTTCAGCTAAATTCAGTTCACACATGTAGCTCGAAAGCGAATGCAACCACCAATGCTTTGTCATGCCAAATTTGCAGTCACATTTGCATGAAATGTGCCCAAAAGCTTGAACACACTGCCTTCTGCAAATGAATTGCTACTCGACTGCCAAGCTTGCATCGTCAGTCGGCCGGTTCAAGTATACATCACCCTAACACTTCCATACCCAGGTGCAAAATTTCATCAGAAAACGAGCAATCACATGGTAAAGGTTTTGAGACAATCACAGAAAGTTGAGATCATACAAAAAAATGTAGCATTTTTACTGCGTTCAAAACTACCCTCCAAAACTTACAAAGATTAAATTACAATGACGTCAATGTGTACATACCGGTACCAATTTACATACTTTAACTACCGACTGCTGTCAAAGCACAACTCAAAATCAATTGACTTTCAATTAAAACTGCACCAGCCGTGACTGAGCGTGGAAGTGCTTCATTTAGAGAAGCCGCTATCCAAATGGGAGAGAAAATTTTTTTTTACATAATAAAAGAAACCCAGCATTTACAATCCGAGACCTTGGCTGTGTTATTGATCCATGAGGTTGGTGACTGTGTGTGAATGGTTGGACGGGGAACTTTTACATTTAGGACTACATTGCCAGAGACACATTTCACAGCAATTGGGGCACAGCAGAGGGAAGGCAATACATGCATTGATATTCTCAAAGGATTCAGGAACATGTTCTGCAATGTACTCCTCCAAAGTGCTCTCGGCGGGCCCATACAATATCCATTTCAACAACATGTACGCACTCAAATCAATTTCACGCATGAGGGGAAATTGTACGAGCATGTACGTAAGTGAAGACATTTTTCCAAATTGTAAACAAGAAGTCAATTTGCGACACAACTCAACAAAACGTGTCGGAGGTGGCCAGAGCTTCTTTTCAGTAAAAAGCATTTTTAAAAGCCATTTCTCGTGAATCCGCATCATGAAAATCGATAGGAGCAGTTATAACATCTGCATAAATTTAAGATGTCAAATTGAGAGATGCATTACAAAGAAGAGCAGGATACGCTGATGAAAAACTAAACGCTGAAATAATGTTCTTTACAATCTTTTCGTGGGATTCCGGTCACATTTACAAAATTTCTCAAATTTTTACGAAGCCCCATGAGGCAAGTGAAACTTGCTCCTCTCCCCTCTACAAATTTAAAATTGTTTACATCCTACATGTATCTTCTCTGACACTTTTCCTTACTTACTCATGTGGTTTTAATTTGTCAGTCATTTTCTTTCGCAAACAAAACAATGAAAGATTTTACCAAGTCTGGCTAGAACTATTATGAAACTTTTTTGATGCTGGAATGACAACTGATCACTGTACATGCAAAAGATGTTCCGAAACCATCAATATCTCAAGATCAATGCAAGTCATCAGAAATATGGATACTTATATGCGTAATGACCTTTTTTAACAAGACATGCACTCCGGCAATCTGGCACTCTGTGGCCATCTAGTGCATGTAGGTTAGGGTTTGTGTCTCGCGATCAGAGGGCCAGGGGTTTGAATCAACCTGCTGGCCAGATGTTGTGTCCTTGGGCAAGCTACTTTACCCCAACTTGCCTCTTCTCTTTCAAGGAAAATAAATGGGTACTGGCATTAGTTGCTAAGTTGGACTGCCATCCCATATATATTCTCAGTCATTTCATGCCAAGGAACGCAGAGATAAATGCCAACTGGACAGGCTTGCTACAGACTTTACTTATTACTTTAACTCCATATGGCACAGCATTAAAAGCTGGTTCCCCCCCCCCCAAGAATAACAAATTCTTCAAATCTACTTCCCCTTTCATCACTATTATTTCCTAAAGGGCCTAAGTCAGTTTAAAATAAAAAGCTGATTTCATTACAACCAGGAAAAACAACCTCTTAACAGTGAGTCAAATATTAATGTACGGTACATGTACATCCCAATGGTTTTAATTTCTGTTTTCTTTCAATTTGGATGGATCGTGTCACAGACCATGCGTGAAGCCATGCATGCCTAAATTGTTCGTGACTCCCTGGTCACAGCCATCAATTTCTTCAGAAATACCCCTGCTTGTTTCCCTTAACAGGGGTTTCAAAATACAAACCGTGCTTTCTTAATTAATAGTAAAATACGTGCAAACAGAATGGATCGAGTCAACTGGCAGAGAGAACGGACCTGTAATCCACTTATTGCATTCATAATTCAATTTTTTTTTACCACAATGACAACAATTCAATCAAACAAATTAGACATATTCTAATTTCATTTTATTTCAATTACTATCTATAACAAAATTAAACAAACCCGTCATAGGCCCAGGGCTGTACATCAGAGCCGGTACCCAATAATCCGGCCACTGGTGTCAGGAACCGGTTCCAGATTTACGGATCGGGTAGCCGTAACAAACTTCACAAATATTACTTAGTAACTTCTCAGACAATGAAACAAAAAATGTTGAATGTCATTTGTGGTGAATTTTCAAACGAAAACCAGGCTTCATGGAAAAACAAAACAGATCTCACGTTTATGACACTTGCGAAAGTTGCAGTTTTCACCTTAAAGGGAAAATACAACATTTGCAAACATCAAAAAAACGAAATGATCAAATTACCACGAAATACCTTACTGAATTGTAAGGGACTGACAGTCTAAAGCATCCTTTAAAATTGTGGCTCCTGGTGGGCTGACATTTTCAAGAAAAACTGTATTTTTCCAACGCTGGTCGGCCGACCAGCGTTGGAGAAAACTGGCTTTTTTTCAAAAACTGTTCTTAATTTTTCATATTTAGTTATTCTGACTTTTCTTTGCAATTGATCACACACCTGTGAAGGGGTACAAGCCTGCTAGACTGATTCTCTGACCTTACAATTCCCCAAAGTGTATTAATTGCTTCGTTTCATCTTAAGTGGGGTCAGGGAATCAGACTACAAGAACACGATAGGTTTTCTTGGTTTTTCCAGCATCTACAAGCCCAAAACATGAAACAAGTCAGTTTAACAATATTTTATAACATACTAATCCTCCAAATCCATTTATTTCTGAAAATTGCAGCAAAAGCAAATGTTGTATATTCCCTTTAAAGCTATGAGTATGAAGCTCACTGTACACACATGAATTGCTGCATTGATGCACCGATGTGGTAGTATTATCACGCAGACCTTTATGAACAACCTGAACAGAAACTTCAGAGATTTGAATTTTAGGGGTTGGGTTTCTTTAATGGGTACCAAGGTACCAATTTTTTTTTTCAATTGGGTACCTGGTTCCTTCACACCCCTAATTTTAGGCTGGTGTTTTAAAGTCGTGCCTAACCAGAGTGATTCCTCTTGGTTACAATCAGATTTTAACTGCACATGTATTTTAGTTTAGGCCCAAAAAAAAATAGTTCTGCTTCCGATTATATGGCGTTCAAAAATAGGGTAGGTAGGAGTAAAAGGTAGAAATTGATGGTTTTGGGTGTTTTTTGCTCATTTTGCCCATAAAAAAATTAGGGTAGGGGCTGTCAGAATAGGGTACCTGTAGGTAGGGAAACCGGAAGCAAAAGTATTTTTTATTTTTTTTTGGCCTTATTACAGACTAAACTCTGGAGTACATGTAAGTTAGAACAATTGTAACAATCAATCTGGGTGCGCCATCACCGCATTATGGGGAAGTTTTTTATTGTTACTGGGTAGGTAAATTAGGACCGAGTTATGGGGACTTTCTGCTGTCTCCATACATGCATCTTCGGTCTCCATAGTACCATGGGACAATAGTGTGTAGTACCATAGTACCCGCAGTTACGGAACAAGTACCGGTACATGTCATGTGTAGCCGCACATTAATTGTTTCAAACATCAAAATTTATTGAAATCTTGGTTCGGCAAGACTCTTGACCATCAGTCTGCAATGGATGTAATCTCCAAGTCCATTACAGAAAATTAGAATGGCAAATTGAGTTAAAATACATGAGAAAGAACAGTCAATGTACTTACTCCAAGCCTCAGGCAATTTTTGATCACAATGGAAACAACTGATCAACTTGCATACGGGCAAATCTA